TCTATGTGAGCATATGTTTCCATTTCTCTTGAGTAGACTACCTAGAGCAGACTTAGTGGATCACAGGAAGCTACTAAACTATTTTCCAAAGTGGCTGTTACAGTAGTTTGCATCCCCATCAGCAGTGAATGAGAGTTTCTGTTGGTCAGTATCCTTGTCAACGGTTGGTATTGTCAGTTTTTATTTTTAGCCATTTCCATAGGTGTATAGTGGTATCTTATTGTGGCTTTATATACATTTCCCTGATGACAAGTGATGTTGAGCATCATTTCTTGTGCTTAGTGGCCATTCCTGTTCTTCTGTTCAAATCTTTTGCCCATTTTTTAAAATGCGTTGTCTTATTGAGTTGTGCAAGTTCTTTAAATATTCTGTATATAAAATGTTTTTTGTACACACACACACACACAAACACACACACACTTCTCTCCCAACTTGTTTATTTTCTTAGTGGTGTCTTTCAAAGGCAGAATTTTTTCATTTTCATAAAGTTTATATTTTTCTTTTTTATTTCATGCTCTTGGTATTCTTTTTTTAATTATTTTTTCTTATCCCAACATCATGAAGATTTTCTCCTGTTTTACTTAGTAGTTTCAACTTTTTCTTTACTTCTTTGATCCATTTCAAGTTAATTTTTGTGTATCATATAAGGTAAGGGTGAAAGTTCATTTTTTCTAAATGTCTGTTAAGTTGTATCTAGGTTATTTTCCCCCATGGAATTACTCTGGCCCCTCTCTTGAAAATTAATTGCCCATACATGCATGGATCTATTTCTGGATTCTCTGTTCTGTTTCATTGATCCATTTGTCTATGCTAGACCAAAGTACACTGTCTTGATTACTGTAGCATTAAAGTAAGTCTGGAGGGGCGCCTGGGTGGCTCAGTGGGTTAAAGCCTCTGCCTTCGGCTCAGGTCATGATCCCAGGGTTCTGGGATCGAGCCCTGCATCGGGGCTTTCCGCTCAGCAGGGAGCCTGCTTCCCCTCTTCTCTCTCTGCCTACTTGTGATCTCTGTCTGTCAAATAAATAATAATAAATAAATAAATAAATAAAGTCTGGAAATCAGGTAATATAAGTCTTCTAATTTTGTTCTTTTTCAAAATAATTGTGGCTATTTTAGGTCCCCTATATTTCCATATAAATTTGAAGATCAGTTTAGCAATTTCTCTTTTAAAAGTCTGCTGGGATTTTGATTGGGATTGTACTGAGTCCATACATCAATTTGGAGGGAGTTGACATCCTCACAATACTGAGTCTTCTAATCTATGAACATAGCATATCTCTTATTTAGCTTATCTTTAATACCTCTTAGCCATGTTTTATAATTTTAAACATATAGGTTCTTATTCATAATTTTAAAAAGTTATTCCTAATTATTTTATGTTTTTGTTTGTATTATAGATAGTTTCATTCTTTAAAATTTCATTTCCTAATTGTTCTTCGCTAGTATATAGAAATACAATTGGGTTTTGTAATTGAGCTTCTTTCTAAATTCATTTTTTTAGATCTAATAATTTTTGTATAATTCTTAGAATTTTCTATATACACAATCATGTAGTCTATGAATAAAGAGTTTTACACCTTCTTTTCCAATCTGTTTGCCTTTTGTTTCTTTTTTTTCCCTTTTTGCTTTGGCCAAGACCACTAGTACAGTGATGTACAGAAGTGATAGGAGCAGACATTCTTGTTTCGCTTCTGTTCTTAGAGTCAAGTCACTAATTCTTTTTACTACTAAGTATGATGTTACCTTATACATTTTTCCTACATATTTTATCATTTTAAAATATTTTATTTATTTATTTGAGGGAGAGCTCGCACGCATGCTCTCTTGGAGCGCTCCCTCCAAGAGAGGAGGGAGAGGGAGAAGCAGACTCCACACCGAGTGCGGAGCCTGATGGCAGGGCTTGCTCTCAACCCTGAGATTGTGACCTGAGCCGAATCAAGAGTCTGATGTCTAACTGACTGAGCCACCCAGGTTCCCCTTTCATATATATTTTTTACCAAGTTGACTTGGTAAATTCTATTTCTATTCTATTCCTATTTGACTATTCCTATTTGACTGAATTGTTAAATTGAGAATTGGTATTGAATTTTTTCAGATGATTTTTCCCTATCAAGATGGTTTTTTTTTTTTTTTTTTCTTTTTTACTCAGTTACTTTGGTAAAATTACATTGATTCTTTCTTTCCTTTTTTTTTTTTAAGTAAGCTCTAATGCCCAGTGTGAGGCTTGAACTCATGAACATGAGATCAAGAGTCACATGCTCTACCAAGTTTATTTTTTTCCTGCTCACCCTACCATTTCTTTTCACTCCTTAAAATTGTTTTTAATTTGCATACAACTTTGGACAAAAACAGTTTGGTATATATTGATTCATTTTTTAGTATTAAAACAGTCTTCAGTTCCTGAGATTAACCCCACTTGGTCATGATGCATTATGCTTTTAGTCACTCTAGATATAATTTTTTAAGATTTTTATTTATTTACTTGAGAGAGAGAGAGATCACAGAGGAAGAGGGAGAGGGAGAAGCAGACTTGCTGCTGAGCAGGAAGCCTGATGTGGGGCTTGATCCCAGGACCCTGAAATCATGACCTGAGCTGAACGCAGATACCCAATCAACTGAACCACCCAGGAGCCCCTCCAGATACAATTCTTAACTATAAATTAACCAAACATAAAACAAGATCAGGATGATATGAAAAAAGAAACATCTGAGAAATGGCAAAAGTTCTTGGAAATGTATAAACATAATTTAAAAATTAGTAGAAGGGCTAGAAAATAAAATAGAAGAAATATCTTGGAAAGTAGAGTTTAAAATAGGAACAAAACAAGTATAAGTTAATTCTAGAAGTATGTTTTTATTAGGAATTCTGTAACATAAAAACAGAGAAAGTGGAGGAGACAGAATTATCAAAGAAATAATACAAGAGGGACGCCTGGGTGGCTCAGTTGGTTAAGCGGCTGCCTTTGGCTCAGGTCATGATCCCAGCATCCTGGGATCGAGTCCCACATCGGGCTCCTTGTTCCGCAGGGACCCTGCTTCTCCCTCTGCCCCTGCCTATCACTCTGTCTGCTTGTGCTCACTCTTGGTCCTCTCTCTCTCTGACAAATAAATAAATAAAATCTTAAAAAAAAAAAAAAAAAGAAATAATACAAGAATATTTCCCAGCATTGGAAGATCAAAATTTCCACACTAAAAAGGCTACAGTAGGAGAGCCTGGCTGGCTCAGTTGGTGGAGCAAGCAACTCTTGATCTTAGGGTCGTGAGTTTGAGCTCCACGTTGGGTGTAGAGATTACTTAAAAAAAAAAAAAAAAATTTAAAAAAAAAAAAAAAGGCTAAGTGCAGCTAGCTTAGAAACCAACTAGTCTAGATTGTAGCATGGGGATGGAGAGCCTTAGAAAAGCAATCTTTAGGGAAAAATTGGAATGGATGAGTTAGAATGTATGGTAAAATATATTGATAAGACAAATAGCAGAGATGTACTTTGAAAAAGTCAGTTAATATGTGGAAAACCAAACAAGTAAAAAAAAAAAAAAAATGAGTCCATTATCAACTCCAGGAAAACAAATAGTGTACAAGAAAACAGATGTGGTCATCTTTGCCTCAGCTCTGAACCATGTTTCCACAGTCATAACAATGTAAATGTGGACTATTGATTTAATCAGTATGCCAGAATTGTGTTAAGAATGAAAGCAGGAAAGTAGGGTGCAGGAAGGTGATGTGGGAGAGTTTAGTCTTCATCTACCACAGTAGAAATTTAGTAGATATATATCTAAAATGGCCATATAAACATTTTTTAAGAATGCTAATAAAAAGCAGGATAAATAGCCAAAAGAAGTGAAGCTCATTACTTCTGGGAAAGGATCAGTGGGGAATTGGGTCAAGAGAAATTTAAAAATTAAAGAAGAAAACCACATAATAACAAACCTGTCTTTTCTTATAGAGATTGCGGTATTTCCAAATGTAGTGGCTAGAGTACATCCAGTTTTATTGTCTCTGAAAGTTTCTCTAAACCAGTCTTCAGAATCTAGAAATTTATAGGTCTGGTACAGTGCTCTGAGTGGTAGACTCATAGGAGGCTTTTGTTCATCAAAAGGCATTTCTATAAAAGGAGATTTGACTAACCTGTTTCTATTTTCCTTTTAGGCTTAAATTTTTGAAATTGAAGTAGGTCTACACATTAGGAACTCATGTCTTTTCTTGTAAGTAAACCAGAGCGAATTCGGGTGAGTGTTTCTATTCTTCCGGCTTTACTATTTTTATTATCTGTAAAGCAACGTGTTTTGGCAGATATTGTAGGTCGTTTTTATGTGATGCTCGGAATCCTCTGGAAGGGAGGAATGTGGGAAGTAAAGCAGATATTACAGCCTCCATTCCTGAGAAAAGAGCTTGAAGGTAGAGGCTGACCAGAGACACCAAATACACCCACCAGTTCGTCTGATAGAGAAGAAATGGTGGCTTATTTTATGAATATCACTCATACAAAATTAAATGAATAAATGTCCCTTTTCACTATAGATATGTAATTGCTAATAAGCTGCCTATTTCCTATGTATTTTCAGCAAGTTTGTGTATTTTAAAAATCAGTATCAAATGTCATTATTGGAACACTTTTTCTAAGTATAATCATGGGTTTTAACTGAAGACTCTTTAAATGTGAAAAATGTTATTACAACTGAAAACTTCACCAGCTAAAATGACCTCAAGAACAAATACTGGATTTAGCTTGTTTGTAAGCTTCCTTGACTTCATAAAAGAGCATTATATTTTATTTATTATCAAGTATTTAATTTCTAAATGCAGTAGTAATTATTTTAAAATTCTGTAACAAGGAAGAAGTGCTATATGACACATGAACATACCACTTTCTTTAAATATTGAAGTATATGTTATATTTTGTGATACAGTATACATTATTTTTTATACCAAGTTTTTTTTTTATTATTATTTTGGGTGTTCTTTTTTTTAATTTAGAAAAAAACTGATATAGAGGAGGACAGAGAATGATGTTATAGTTCCAATTCAAAACTCATCTTATATAGCTTATTTCTGAATGTTACTTAACTTCTCTTTTCTTGTGTTTGTGTATATAAGAATAATTTATACTGGAAAGAGTAAACTTCACTGTTAAGAGGAAAAACAGAATCTCTCCTTAGCCTGAACTCTGTCTGGTGGAAAGAATGCCCCCAAGCCAACCTTTAACACTATTTCTTAAGTGAAATTCAACCTTGACTTCCATTACTTTTACATATGAGCTTTTTCTCTGTGTCAACCTTGCCTGATTCATGTGAAACCAGACCACTGATGAGTATTAAGGAAATCCAACACTCATTTGAAATAGGATAGTAAAGTGAACCATGATTGGTGAAGTAAGTGTGGTCCTTGTAAACCTGGTAGAAAATATAAGTGGTGACGTCTTTAGAAATCCTAGTGGATGAAAGAATATTCAGCTTACTGTTTTCTTTTACAAATTAACAGAGGTTGTGAAAAACTGTTTGATGTCTATTTTCCATATTATGAATTCCGGTAGCATTTTTCACTTTGGTATTCGTGATCCAAAGCATCTGTAATAGACGGCCATTGAGACTGTCAGATGGAATCAGAAGGTAGTTTTATGTATAGGAAGGACAAAAAAACCTTCTTCGTTATTAGGACCTGTACTACATGTTTCACAACTATCTGTCAGATTTGAAGATTATTTATCAAATTAGGGCAAAGAAGAATAGAGAAAGGAGTTAACCTATTGTTTTCTGTTGACTTAAGTCCAGGATTCTTTTTAAAATTTTTCCATAGAAATGCATCTTAACTGTATGGCATGATTCTGTTTTTGTAGTTTATGTTTGTCTAATGGCTGATAGCTAATTTTTTGTGGCTTGGAAGAAATACTAATTCTCTTTGGGGTTTTCCTCTTTAGCGGTGGGTCTCGGAAAAGTTCATTGTTGAGGGCTTAAGAGATTTGGAGCTATTTGGAGGTAAGTACAGTATGGCATTTTGCCATCACTTCAGGGTAATATCACTTTGTTGTGATTTGTTGACTAAGTCAGTTGTAGGGGCAAGTGTAGACGACAGCTCTTCTATTCATTTGGCTCCATTTTGAATCCATGGTTTCCCAAAGATTTGAGGACTCATCTGGCAGTGGACCTTGGCCTGTCTTGATTGTTAGAAAGTCAGTATTTACTTAAAGTCATATTTATTTCTTCTAAGTATTCATCCAGTTGAAAGACATATTCTTAAAGGAAAAAAACTAAGTGTTTAAAAGCTTCTAACCTTGAAGATTTTAAAAATAAAATTATTAGAACGAAGGTAGCAATGATATAAAAGTTTTGGTTTACTGATCAATCTAGTCGACTCATCTTTTCATGGTAGAAATTATGAGACTTAAGAGAACTAAGGAAAAAAATCTGTCAGGACAAAAATATTAACTGACTTCCTGTTGTAAAATCCACATGCTGATTTCGGAAGTTGTAACCTTGCAATTTTGAGGTTTAATAGGGCCAGGCATTTGCCTTTGATTCCTTTCAAATTGAGCCTTTTTGAGAACCGTGATCTTAATTTTAGGCAAAGAAAATACTTTTCTACACAAGTAATAGTAGTAGAGCCCCATTCTTTGTGTCTGGACACCAAGACACTCTTCAGCTAAAGAAGCAAGTTATTAGATTGAGAGCATCGGTTGACTGATCCCAAAAAAATACCCTCAGATAGACTTCAATCACTGAGAACTGAAACTTGTTAGTTACTAGGTGATGCTTGTTCATTTATTTTCCCTCATGTCACTCAAAGACCTTCCCGAGGAGTATTATTTGTGAACTCTGTCAAAGTATTCTGTTTTAGACAAATGAGAGTTTAGAAAAATGATGAGTTATTTTTATTTAATTCTGAAGATTAAAAATGAGCTGCACAGTAAAGGAAAAGCTAAATGGGAAGAAAAATACTATATTCTGGTCCTGTTGTCATTTTCTTCTAATCATAAATGGAAATACCATGGTTTAAAAGTAGACATTGGCACTGATGAAAATGGAGTTGGAAGTACAGTTTACAATTAATTAGTTGAAAATATTCCAGTATATGTGAACTGAATTAAGGATTTTGGTTTCAGCATCTTGAGTGTAGGATCTCTGGCAGACTTTTGACAATTCCCTTGTCTCTGATCTGAGGAGAGTGAAGGGATTGGTCTGTACAGCTTGATGAAGTATGTATTATGAGGTTTTATACAACTTGGAATTTGCCTTCTACTCTGTAAGATTGGACTTGATTTCCTTTAATCTATTCACTTGGCTTTAACAGACTGTCTTAAGCAAATGTACCTGCCACTTGTATACCAGAAAACTGATGTCCAAAGCAAAAAAAAAAAAAAAATCTTATTTTGACGAATTGAGGCTAATTTATCTGTGGCCAGTCTCTTCTAACAATACAGTTGGATGCCTTGATTTCTAACTTAAGCTACTTGGAAATATGTGATCATTCCAGTACTTTCCAGTTAAAAATCAACTTTGATGATTTTTCTCACTTTCATAGAATGATAAAAAGTACAGATACAGAATTTGTCTGATTTAAGGGGAGGATGTTATTTGAGTTGTCCTTTGCTTTATTTCCCCTAGAGTAGCAGAGGGCCAAAAAGCCCTTGCTTTATCTGTATTCAGAATAGAATGCATGTGACTGAAGAATCTAAGTGGGTAACAGTCCCATGTATCCATGTTGCCGTATTAAAACATTTTTGCCTTTTTTTTTTTTTTGAAAGCCCGTTTTCTGGTCCCTGCACTTTCCGGGAAATAGCCACATATCTCTGCAACTTTATATTGAATGTTTTGTTCACAATATAAGACCCTGAAGCCAGCCTATTAAAAGTAACATTGTGTGCTGATGGACAGTACATCTAAGACTAGAATTACAGCAGCTGAGTTATACTTGCCAAAGAATACCCAGAGAATAATAGCCTTGCCATCTTTTGAAGACCCAGAGATTCATGTTTAAAACGTCATCTTTGTGTAATGTTTTGACTGTGGGTCTCTCTGTGTGTTAGCTAGTGTTTGTGTGCATGTGTATGTGTTTATACCTAACCCTGTGGGCACTTTTTACCATAATGACTCTTAAGTGGTTCCATAAATAAATGATGTCCTAAGTGTAATCATTGCTATTGTGAATGTGGATGTGTCTTCTGCTAAAAAACAAAATGCCAACAACCAATTTCTCTACTCCAGAACAGCCTCCGGGTGACACTCGGAGAAAAGTAAGTGACTTTCTAGGTTCTAGCATGATGGCTGTTGCATGGGGATGACTTCTTGTGGAAATTTGTGGTTTTGGTTGGCTTATCATTTTGTGTTTCCGCTTATCTCAATGAGTTGTATTTGTAGTGTGGAAATTCAGGTTTCACCCTGGAAAGATTTCAGTGTGTACTTTGGAAGCTGAAAAAGTCTCAGGCACTTTTTGTCTCTGTCTTGGGGATTAAGGTCTCCTCCCCTTCCCGATCCTACCAGTCCCCCACCACCCCTCCAAAGCAAAGAAAGTTTCAACAATCTAAGATGTGGTTATCTTTTAGTGCCTGGTGGTGCTACATTTTCCATCCAATTAGGTCTATTGCTAATTGATTTCAGTCCACAGAGATCATACAGAGCTCTACCTCAATTATAGGCCGTACCTCAAATCTACCTTAAAAACAAAACCCCACATTAAAAAGTACAAAACAGAGGTGCATTTTTTTTATTGGTAAAAGTTGAAAGACTCTTGTCCTGCTTCCTACTCTTGTAGTTCATTTCACCAATGTAACACCAGATGTGCACAGTGTACCAAGCTATTTTGATAACATAAATCAGTGTCTTATAAAGAGAGAGGAAAAGAACCTCCGGGGTTCTTTCCTCTGTACCCCCACTTCCCCAAAAGACTTCTTGGTCTTTTCAGGTGACAGACTTCTGCACATTTTGCGGGCAGCCCCACAGTTGAAGGATGGTGATGTTGACTAGGAATTTCTGAGCAAAGCTTTGGCAGATTGAAATATGTTCTAGCCAGGAGACCAAAAAACATTCCCTGTACCATCAGTTGGATATTTTTCCAGAACAGAATGCCCATTATATATAATTTTTATGTTTTCACAGCTGCTGGCATTATGCTAAGAGTTATCCTGTGTGAAACCTGGTGGTGGGGGGGGTGGATATAGCATTTCACAAATATTGTCTTTGTGTGCTCTATTGTACTTCATCTTAAACTCTTTAAACAAAGTTATTTAATGGTCATTTCTGGCTATCAGTAGCTTATGTATTGTCCAAATGCTTCAAAATGAATAAAATGGTTTTCATGGCAAGGGGAACTAAGAAGCTTTGCTAGAATTAGTTTCTCTAGACAATTTGAGATTACACTTCATGCTAATACAACTATGCCATGCTGTGTTTAAAGAGAATTTCATCCTTTTCATCTGAATTTTGGCCTTTTCTAACTCTGAAACAGTATACTGGACTAATCCCCCTTCTTGTGGCAATATCAGACCCAACCTCTTCCTTTTAAAATACTGTCTTTGTTTTCTTATTTTCCTAAATAAAGGTTGGTTTCTCTCTGAGTTCAGACCTATAAAACATCCACAAACTAGAACTCGCCCATTTTAGGATCATTGCCAGTGAGATGGGAGCAGCAGCCACTAGACTAGTTTATCTCATGCAATTCCCGATTGCCAAGAATTCACATTCCCAATTACCTAAAGAATTGTATTTCCTAAAATGAACACTTTTGAGTCATCTTCTGTAGTCAGCAAAGATAGTAGAAATACTTGCCAAGTTACTACCTAATGATACCAGTAGTTTACTACATCGTTTCCTACCTAGGCTCAACAGGGGCGTGTCCCTAGTGTGTAGCCTACTAGACAGTACGTCTTCTATGCACTTGCAGCAAGGAAGATGGACATAGGTCATAAAAAAGTATCTACCAGTTTTTCCCAAGGGAGTTATTTAAAATGCATTAAATAAGTACTTTCATCTCACAACTCCAGCTGTCCATCTTTGTCTCTATTTCAAATTACAGAAATATTAAGGAGTTTTCCTAGAAATCGGAGGAGAGAAGACCTTCAAATATATAGTAGTTTTAGATTTGTTCTCATTGGGACTATATTGCTACTTGCTAAAAAATGCAGTACTTCCTTACAGAACAGATTCTGTTTTATAAAGCACCCCTAGTAACAAGGGATCTAGTGAGTGTGTCACATGACAGCAGGTGTTTTCAGTCTGGGTCAATATGTTGAACTCTGTCTCTGGTGGAACTGGCTGGTACATGTCCCCAAGCCTCTTCAGCTCATGGCAATGACAAGGTCATGGGCAGGAGACCTTCCCAGTTCAAACTTGACCCATGCAAACCTGTTTTCATGGGTCAACTATAGCAAGTTGGGGACATGGTAAGGGATGTCTTTAGAAGTAGGCAGGGGCCGAGTCACGTGAATCCTCATAGATCAGAGCAGGGACTTAGGGTCTGCAAGCCACCCCCTGAGTTTTATGTTCACTGATAACACCGATGTTATTGAGGAGTAGATTAATACTTCAGAAAACAGGATCCAAAGAAGAACAATAGGTACAGATAGTGAGAGGTAGGAAGTTAAGAAGATGGGACTCAAGACTAACTTAGCTTGCAGCTTGTCAGTTCTAAACAAATGGTAAGGGGCGCCTGGGTGGCTCAGTGGGTTAAGCCTCTGCCTTCGGCTCGGGTCGTGATCCCAGGGTCCTGGGATCGAGCCCCGCATCGGGCTCTCTGCTCAGCAGGGAGCCTGCTTCCCCCTTCTCTCTGCCTGCCTCTCTGCCTACTTGTGATCTCTCTCTGTCAAATAAATAAATAAAATCTTTTTTTTTAAGATTTTATCTATTTATTTTGACAGAGAGAGATCACAAGTAGGCAGAGAGGCAGGCAGAGAGAGAGAGAGAGGAGGAGGACGCAGGCCTCCCACAGAGCAGAGAGCCCGATGCGGGGCTCGATCCCATGACCCTGGGATCATGACCTGAGCCGAAGGCAGAGGCTTATAACACACTGAGCCACCCAGGCGCCCCTGGTTTGGGCTTTTTGGTCACATTTTGTCCCTTGGTTGTGTATCTCTCACCTGTCTGAGGCACTTGGGAGGTATCTTAGCATTATTCTGAAGACCAGACAGTGTCAAGAAGCTATAATGGCTATCAATGATCCTAGAGTTTGTTTTCAGAGCATTGGAAAATACAGGTAACTATAAAAACTAAAATCAAACCAACCTTAATCATTTATCAAGCTCTTCTTAGGATTCTCTGTTTTCTTCGTTTTCTCTGTTCCATCTTATTTGTCGAACAGGAGAGTGACCAAACAGTAGGCAGTAAAAGAGGGAGGAGAAGAACAAAATTCATATTAATTGAATACCTATGAGACACCAGGTAGCGCTAAGCTCTTTCCATATTTCATCTCATTTCATTGTCACAACAGCCCTATGAACTGGGAATTTATTCCACTAATGAGATAACAGAGACCCTAAGAGTTTAGAGTGACTTACCCAGGATCACAGAGCAAGTAATAGACCTGAGTTCAAGTTCTGTCTCTCTCTGGTTCCTGATCCTATAGTCTTTGTATTGTACCATTTATCTTGCTTAATATAGCCTTTCCCAAATTATCTTTTCCAAAATTTAACAAAAAGTTCTCTGGATACGTAGATTTGGGAAATGCTAGGTCAAACAAAGTTAAACAAGTTTCCTTACTATAAAACTTCTCAAAACGAGCATCCCTTATGATTCTTCACGAGGAAGAAAATGCTGCCTTTTCTCATTTAACTGAACATGGAAACTGTTTCTGTGTGTTAACTGCCAAGATCAGTGTTTCAGGGGGCCTACTTGGGGGAAAATCTTGCATTAAAACAACCCAGTAGAAGAATGGACAAAAGAAACAAAGAGGCAGTTTCACCTGGGAGAAACCCACATAGCCAACAAATACATGAAAAGATGTTCAACCTCGTTAGTAATCAAGGAAATGTAAATCAAACCCACAATGACATTGGCAACAATGAAGTCTGATTAAGTGATGGAGGAAAATGGACCAAGGAAAACATGCATATAATCCTGGAGGGAGTGTAGATGGGTATAACCTTTTTGGAAAACAATTTTGCATTAGTTTGTAAAATTGATCGTTCATTTGCTCTGTAACATACCAATTCCATTTCTGGGCCTAAGCTTTAGCATAGCTCTTGTATACACGCATCAGGAAACACATTCAGATGGGTTTCCGATAGCACAGTTCATAACAGCAGAACCGAAAACAACCCAAAAAGCCCATTGACACTGGAATGGATAAACTGAGGTAGAGTCTGAGGTAGAGTTGCTAAACACAACAATATGGATGAATCTTAGATACAGAAAAACTGAATTAGAAATTTGCTGACCAGGCTCTCTTCCTTGACAAGATTCCTCTTACTGTCATAGTAAGCGGTGCAAGAGGAAGAACCCCACGTGGTTTCTTTCCCCAGTGGCAGCATGAACTCTTGAAACCAGATGTGCCTGAAACATCAGGGACCCCCTGCCAGGTGGTACCACCAAGCCAGAACATTCTCGACTCACTCTCTTCTGGCTAGCGCCAAGTCTGGGGCCTTTCGTGTGTTCACAAAGACCTTTTCCTAACTAGCGCTCAGGTTTAGGAACACAGCATATGGAATTTGAGCTGGCCTAAGGTTCTCCATTTCCGTAGGACACACGTCTGAAGAAAGATGATCCAAAAGAAAGAAAAACATGGTCCCGAAATCATGTAAATAAATTTAGGTCTGGAAGAAGGAAACAGCCTTTTGAGCTGGAAGAAGAGCTGTTGGTCTGCCATCGATTTTGATGGGCTCTCTTCTTCTGGACCTCGAAGGCCAGAGGTGTGATGCCCCACATCCTAACTGGCAGAAGTCCCGCTTCATGTGTGGCAGGAACAAGGACGCGGGTCACTTCCGCCACCTGGGATGATGGCTGAGACCCGACAGTTCTGTCCCTTGCCTGCAGTCATGTGTGCTGGCTGATTTTTTTTTTTTTTTTCCTTTCCTTGGAAATGTCAGGGAATAATTGGTCTGGGCTCTTGGTTTGCTAAAGAGTAGATTTCTTATGGCCACATTTTCCCTATACCAAGATTCAGCACGTGACCTTTGGAATCTTGCAGTCAGGACCATAAAATAGGAACCCCTCCCCCACCTCTCCATCCTGCATCTCTTTAAACATGGTTTTCTCCAGACATCCTGCCCCCAGATAAGAATTTCACAGTTTTTAGCAAATAAGCCAGTTGTTGGAATGGACAAGCAAATCAATAGTCGACTGAAACTGGGCCTGTCCCCCACCCCCATTCCTATATAGTACTCACATTTACTGGCTCTGATATTAGAGCTGGTGACTACATTGAACATGAACACTGGTGTTTTACATTTCTCATTGAATAGTGCTGGAACAATTTCTTTGCCCCAGAGTCAGAATTTGTGTGGTTAGATGCCAGTCTCCTCGTGGGTCTGAATTGCCACCTCCCACTCCCATCCCACACCCAATTTTCTCTTATTAACCTATTTTTCTTTTTCTTTAGACCAATGAAGCGAGCTCAGAGTCGATAGCATCCCTCTCTAAACAGGAGATCATGAGTAGCTTCCTGCCGGAGGGAGGGCGCTACGAGCTACTCACCATCATAGGTAAAGTCCAGGGACTGCCACTCTCGGGCTCCAGGGTCTCCTCTGTGCCCCCCCCTTCCCCAAAATGAATGTGTGCCAGAAGCTGTGAGCTAGTTAGCAGGACTCAGGGTGACAAATTTGGGGGTCTCCTTTGCTTTTGTCTTCCAAGTATGGGAAAAGAGCTCTTGTTACCAGGAGAGAAACTCTTTTGCAGTTTTTCCTTTTTGGCTTAGACAATACATCAGACAATACATTTCTGATGTCCTGCACCATAGTCAGTTCGAATGGTTGGTGGAGGAGGAACTGAAAGGAGACAAACCAAGAAATGTCAGTCATGAGGGTAACAGCAGTGACAGTTTTAACTTGAATCTCCTTTTTAGATCAGGTCTCTTTAAGGCAACCTTTGTTGCTGTTGTCCTTGTTTATGGCCATTCCCCTTTTTTTTTAGGCAAAGGATTTGAGGACCTGATGACCGTGAACCTAGCAAGGTACAAACCAACAGGAGAGTATGTGACGGTACGAAGGATTAACCTGGAAGCCTGTTCCAATGAGATGGTGACATTCTTGCAGGTAATAAAATGTGAATGGGACACTGGAAGGGTGGGCTCTTAGTTCCAGTAGTAATCACAGGACATCTCTTATGTGTGTCTTCTGAAAGTAGCTGGAAGAAAACAAAGGTGGACTAAACCGAAACGTTACAGAAACTCTTAATGAAGAATCCTGGGATTTTGGCACTAAGGATTCTATAAAGCTGCTCAGGCCAATTTATAGTCCCCTCCTCTTCTCCAAAGACTACTTTGTGGCTCATTTATTCACTTGTTTACTATTCAGAGAGGCTAAGTAACTTGCCTGTGGTCACACACACTTGTATGTGGTTGAGCCGGGATTCAAACCCGGGCAGTCTTGTTCCAGATTCAGGGCAGCCTGCTCTGCCACAACAGCCGTGTTCCAGCTCTCATCATCCTGTTGGCCCAAGGTTCCTTTCTGTAGGACAAGCAAGTAGCTGCCCTCTTGTTAAACAGGGAGAGACCACAGATCTGGTAGCTGGCCGGGGGCTAGACTCTCCTTCACTGACGCAGGCCTGCACTGAGAACCCCGGAGATCCAGGGCCTGGGTCGGTGTATTTTCAGCGGTGGACGTGCAGCCTGTCCTCCTACTTCATTCATAACGTGTCTCTGAATTCATGCTCATCTGATGGTGCTCTAATACCCACCCATTCGTGTGGTCGGAGCAGTTTTGTGGGTCTGAGGATGGAACTGAACGTCAGTCCCAGCTTAGTTATTTGGGAAGAAAGATATTTGAGTTTATTCTAGAGCATGTTGGACTTTAGGATTCTTTTTTAATTTTCTGGAGCAGTGGACAGGTAGAAGGTATAGCTTCTTTGACCTTAGCTCATATCCCATCTCAGGACCCTGGAGTGTCTGTAATTCTTTCGTCCACATTTATTTTAAAATCCCATAGGTCTGGGGCACCTGGGTGGCTCAGTCATTAAGCATCTGCCTTCAGCTCAGGTCATGATCCCAGAGTCCTGGGATCGAGCCCCACATGGGGCTCCCTGCTCAGCAGGAGGCCTGCTTCTCCCTCTCCTACTCCCCCTCTTATGTTCCCTCTCTCACTGTGTCTCTCTCTGTCAAATAAATAAATAAAATCTTTTTTTAAAAAAATCCCATAGGTCTGACACTTTCCGTAAGCGCTCTCCCTCCCGGGTTGCTGGAGAAGCCCCTTCGGATATCCAGTAGTCATCGTTTGCCTCTGGTGCTTTGTTTCCTCGTTCTGTCCATTACAACATTTTCCTTTACAATGGGAAAACATTCTTTGTTTCCTTACCTTAAAGAGGAGTTCTGTGCCTTGGCCCTTGAAGTCGAGCTAAGCTCTAAGCTCATGACTTCCTAAGTCTTCAGTCAGCAGTTGGTTCTTGATTCTGAGGTGGCGAGCTGGGACCCTTGATTGTGCTGTTGGCAGTTTCCCTGCAGGCGGGGAATTTTTCTTGAGGCTTTTAAGATCGGCTGGCGAAGCCAGACTCAGGCAGAAGCTGGCAGAGCAGTGCTGGGCTCCGTGTGGAGACCGCAGAGCCTGGCCTGTCTCCTCTGGCTGGCCTCTGGCGCAGGCTGCTTCCAGGACTCTGAGAAGAGCTCCGGAAGTACTAGGTCGCCATGTTATTCATGGCGTCCAGCGCGCTTGATTCTGACTTCCCCTTACCATTGCTTTCAGGGGGAGCTTCATGTCTCTAAACTCTTCAGCCATCCCAACATCCTGCCATATCGAGCCACCTTTATTGCAGACAATGAGCTGTGGGTTGTCACATCATTCATGGCGTATGGTGAGTGGGACATGGGTCCTGGCAGAGAGGTGTTCTGGGAGCTCTGTTGTCAGCTGGCTCATGTGCAGTTTCCCTTCTCTGTTACCCTTCCCCCGGCCCCCACGACTTTTCTTCAGGTTCTGCCAAGGATCTCATCTGCACACACTTCATGGACGGCATGAATGAACTGGCGATTGCTTACATCCTGCAGGGGGTGCTCAAGGCCTTGGACTACATCCACCACATGGGATACGTACACAGGTGCAGTCACGGGCACAACCGCCCCTTCCGAGAGCGCATGAGCCCTCGAGGAAACAGTGGGACTTTGAAGTTAGTGACGTCAGAGTTTAAACCAAGGCTCAGCATCCTGTCCTTGCCTCTGACTTGGTAGACAGAGCATTTGGTCTGTCAGTTCTAACTTTCTCTTTACTGAGTGGCTTGGTCCTGAGAAGAACATCTGTCACGGACCTCTGCACCCCCACCCCTTGGAGCACCCAAACTGGTGTATGTGCCCCAAAGTCAGCCCTATGCCAAGAGGCCCGGGGGAAGGCAGGTTGCTTAGTAGAAGGTATCAGGACAAGCAGCTCACAGTAGGGAAGATAATGAAACCGGACCCCTATCTAACTCCACATCCAAAGGAGCAGTTCAGATGGACTCAGTGTCTGATGTGAAACTACAGACTTAGATAGAAGGAAATGCTTTTGTGACCTGAGGCATCGAAGACTGTCTAGATATTTTAGAAGTACAAAACATAAAACAAATTGACAGATTTGATTATATCACGATTAAAGATCTCTCTCCAATGAAGGACATCAGGAACAAAATTAAGAAATGGGTGACGGGGTGTGAGATGTAAGCTTTGTGTAAAACACACAGGAGATGTGTAACAAAGAAATCCTGTGCATCAACAAGAAAAGGATGGCAAAGCAATAGAAAAAAGAGCAAATGGTTTGAAGTTTATAAAAGAGGAAACCCAAAGGACTGTTGTATGAAAAGATGCTCAAAGCTGGCAATAATCAGAAAAGCAAATTAAGGGGCGCCTGGGTGGCTCAGTGGGTTAAGTCTCTGCCTTCAGCTCAGGTCATGATCTCAGGGTCCTGGGATTGAGCCCCACGTTGGGCTCTCCGCTCCGCGGGGAGCCTGCTTCCTCCCGCCGCTCTCTGCCTGCCTCTCTGCCTACTTGTGATCTCTCTCTCTCTCAGTCAAATGGATAAATGAAATCTTTAAAAAAAAAAAAAAAAAGGAAAATTAAAACAGGATGTTGTCACCCTGTACACCTGAGATGGGTGTAGGGTGGAGGCTGGAGGAGGCCCAAGGCAGTGAGGAGATGGGGTCTCCTGTCCACACAGTGGAAGATGCCCTGATGGCCGGGGTCGCTTGGGACTGGGACCATCAGTGCTGCTCCAGGTGGACACCCCAAAGAAACCCTTAGGGGACAGGTGTGGGTGTCATCGTTCCCATTCATGTGGGGTTAGAGGCAGCGTGAGTGCTCCTCCCTGGGAGAGCGGATGAGTAAAAGTGTTAGAACCTGGCCCAGAGTACGGACAGCAGTTAGGAGCAAAGCTTAGTTGTACGCAGGGGGCGATACAGAGGGATCTTATAAACAGCACTGAGAGGTGAAGGGAGAATGGGAGGGATAGCACAGCACCGTCGGGTAAATTGAAAATATATGCATACAAAATCATGCTACACTTTATAAGAATACCTACAAACAAAAGTATAGATTGAAGGCAGTAGATGGCAGGGGAAGCAGTGGTCTGGGAGCATAAAAGAGAACTTTAGCAAAATATAAGTAAGTTTTAAAATCTGGTGATATGTAAATTGGGTCATGCTACTTTCTCTTTTCTCATGTATGTGTTATATACATATAAACATGTGTTCATGTATAAATGGCATGAATATATACATGTGTAAGACACACAGCCAGACGGGGCTAAGGAGAGAGCTGACTGGAGCTAGTAGGTGACGATCAAAGGTTTGCGGTGTGAGGGGCTCTGGCTGCCCCATGATACCCTCTCCCCGCCCTCCCAGGAGTGTCAAAGCCAGCCACATCCTGATCTCGTCCGACGGGAAGGTCTACCTCTCTGGTTTACGCAGCAACCTCAGCATGATCAGCCACGGGCAGCGGCAGCGTGTGGTCCACGACTTTCCCAAGTACAGTGTCAAGGTTCTGCCTTGGCTCAGCCCAGAGGTCCTCCAGCAGGTCTGTGCGCTGAGTCCTGAGGAGCCCCCATCCCTCACCAACTCAGTGTCCCAAGGGAGCCTTCAGGAATTTCCCGGGATGGGGGTGCTTCGCTTCTGGGTGGAGTGAGGGGTTCTAGAGGGAGGGGTTCCCTGTTGGCAGGTGGACCTGGGAGGCCTCTCAGTGTGGGTGTTGGGCGCCCATTGCAGATGGTGTTGTTTCCCCTCTGTGGGGTCCCAAACTGGGCCGAATACTATTTCAGTCCCCATCAGAGGCCTTCCCATCTTATAGAAGAGTGAGCATTTTGGAAATAGTTGGTGCTCTCCACACCCCTCCCCTAAGCAGGAGCATAGGGCCCCACATTTCTTCCTTCTTGTTACACAGCATCAAACATTCCTTCCTTTAAAATATCAGCTACTCTTCGGTAGTAAGGAAGAGGAAGGCAAGGAAAGTGTGCTGGATTGGAGACAGGCATTCTGTTCCTCCCCCGTGCCCTTCTCAGGCTATAGATGGAGTCATCTGTGGGGGTTTTTTTTCTCCTGATTTAGAATCTTCAGGGTTACGATGCCAAGTCTGACATCTACAGTGTGGGAATCACAGCCTGTGAGTTGGCCAATGGCCACGTCCCCTTTAAGGATATGCCTGCCACCCAGGTGAGCCTGCAGCCTGGTTTCCTTCTTGCCTGCCCCCCTGCATGCCTTCCCCTGCTGTGGAGGGGGACCCCAGGGGAGGAGAGCTCAGGAGCAGGCCCACTGCTCACTTCTGTAGGGCCTGGAGCACAAACGGAGGCCCACGTGTCATGCGTCTGTTTAGATGTATAAATCAAGCTAACACATTTTTATAAGTTTATAAAATATATGCTATCCTCCTACTTTGATAAATATACCTGGAAGGTCTGTTTCTAAATTATAGTTCTCAGACTCCTCAGGTTCTGTGCTACCTGCTACCACATTTTGGCCAATACCTTTGGAACCTTTGGCTTACAAATTCAATTTCTTTTCATGCCCCTTACAACAACTGCCCTTTGGTCACTCCTTGGCACGCACAGCCAGTGGCATCGTGTACCTTTGGGAGACAGCCTGGGGGAGAGGCTTATCCAGGCCTTATCAAATCCAGGAAGCAGACTTGGGATAGCTGGGCAAGGATTACCTGAGTCCCAAGTACCCTGGAGCATGATCTAGAACTGGGAGGGGGATTTGGCTCTGAGTGAGCCTGTCCTTAAGCCCACAGAATGCCCTATGGGAAAAGGGGCACTTAGAGAATGGCCAGAGGGGAGCTCTGTAGAGCAGGGGTCCCAGGGAGGCTTCTAGGAGGAGGTGACATTTGAGCCTTGAAGGCAGATATGTGAAGAATGGGAAGTAGAAGGAAACTCTTGGCTAGAAGGAACAGCATGTGCAAAGATCCAGAGTCAAGAAAGGATAGGATCTGGGGAATGGCGATAGTTACAAATAGCTTAAGTACAAGGCACTTCCCGGGGGCTGCTGGGTGATGTGGCTGGAGAAGGAAGCCAGAGCAGATCCTGAAGGACTTTGTGTGCCACGCCAGGGCATTTGGTTCCTGGCCCAAAGTATGTGGAGAACTGCTGGTGGCTTCTGAGCCCAGAAGTAAGAGCCTCAGATGCATTTTGTTAGATCACTACAGCAGGTAGATTAGACCTAGCAGACTAGTTAGGAGGGTTATGGAAACATACCTAAGGAATCCAGAAAAATCTAAGACCATCGCAGAAAGGAGCTCTGGGAAAGTGAAAGGCTATGTGAGGTGAACAAGAGGTATGGACCTAGAAACAGCATGGTCCAGTAGCACTTTCTGGGATTGTGGGAATTCCTTATCTGTGCTGCCCAGTACAGTGGCCACTTACAGTGTGGCCAGTGAGATGGAGGAACTGAATTATCAGCCAGATTTAAATTCACTTAAGTATATACAGCTGCCTGTGACTGGTGGCAGCCGTATTAGGCAGAACAGCTCTAGAGAACCTTCCAGGTTTCTGGCCCCGCACTTCACCAGGGCAACCCTAAGGACGGCAGTCCCTGAGGTGGGGCTGGTTTTGCTCGTGTAGAGCCCGAGGACTTCGGCCCCGCCACCCTAGCGGAGCCTGCCCCCGGGGCTCCTGTGTAGCCTGCCACAGGGACAGCCCGGGGCAGGGTGGGGCGGGTGCCACGTAACGCACCCCTTTGGACCCACAGGGGCACCACAAATTGGGAGCCAGGCTCCAAATAAAATGACCTGATAGCCGCCTTCACTCTAGGGTGGGGGCTCTATGGTTGGAAGGCTGTGATCACGGTGTCTTATAAACGGGAGAGGAGACTGGGAGCCCCTTCCTTGCAGCCGTAGTTGGGGGGTGCATTTCTGTAGGCCCTCTCCTTGGCAGTTTGGCCTAGCTAAGGGATGGCTGCTGAGCCTGCGACCCGCATTGCTTTTGAAAAATCAGACTTACCCCACTTCTCTTTTCTCTACTCCCCCAAGCCAAATTTGTATTTTGGGAAAAGTGTATTTGTAAGGAAACGCTATAGATCTCCCAGGGGCCCCCAGTTCAGCCCGGGTCCCGGCTCTGTCCTCCCCAGATGCTGCTGGAGAAGCTGAACGGCACAGTGCCCTGCCTGCTGGACACCAGCACCATCCCCGCTGAGGAGCTGACCATGAGCACCTCACGCTCAGCAGCCAACTCGGGCCTGAGTGAGAGCCTGGCCCCCAGCACCCCCAGGACCTCCAATGGCGACTCGCCATCCCACCCCTATCACCGTACCTTTTCCCCTCACTTCCACCACTTCGTGGAGCAGTGCCTTCAGCGCAACCCAGACGTAAGGTATCCTCTCCGGGCTGAGAGTGGGCTTTCGGGGGAACATGGAGGATTGGGGGGGGTTGAAGGCCGAGTTCAAGAGGACGCATCTGTCCCGGAAAGGGCTGGGTTCCTGGAGGAGTCCCGAGCCCCTGTGGCGGGAGGGATGAGCACAAGGGTTTACTAAGAAGCCAGCCTGGGTGGCTCTGGCTGTCGTGTTTCCGGGGCCTGAGGGAAGAAGTAGAGGTTGCCTGAGGATAAGGTGTAAGCAGCAGGGTTTGGGAAGTCTGGGGCACAGGGATGATGCTGGTCTTTCTCCCGCTTTCTCTACAGACCAAGTGCCAGCACCCTCCTGAACCATTCTTTCTTCAAGCAGGTACAAAGTACTTTCCCAAGGCTCCCTGGGGTGGTTTTTCCCTTGCCTGTGCTTAAACCACCCTGCACCACCTTTGCTTTGGGATCCTTAGTGTGTATTCTCTCCTCCTCCCTTTGAGTCAGAGCAATGGCCCTGTTTCCGAAGCCCCTTAGAGGCGCCGCTCCTTCCTCTCCTAGAGATTTTGGGCTCTAACAGGCCAACTGTCATGGGGCCACTTGGCCCCATGGTGTCCTGGGAACCAGAGCAACGGGATCCACCGCTAACTGTCCCTCCTCCCTCAGATCAAGCGACGCGCCTCAGAGGCCTTGCCTGAGTTACTTCGCCCCGTCACCCCCATCACCAATTTTGAGGGCAGCCAGCCTCAGGATCACAGCGGGATCTTTGGCCTGGTAACAAACCTGGAAGAGCTAGAGGTGGACGACTGGGAGTTCTGAGCCTCTGAAGAACGTTCACATTCTCCGTCCTGGGTCGCGTGAGCCCCGGGGGCCCTTCCCGAGGGCTGGCCACATTCCCACCCTCCTGGGTGCAGATTGGGTAGAAAGGACATTTCTGCCACCGGAGTTGGCCGCTTACTCACTGGGAGAGAAATTCCTGAAGAGAAACCTTCTTTATTGCTCCGGGACTTCTGAGACACAAGGGAATCCCGGCAACCAGTGATCAGAGAGGCCGGGAAGCTGACATTCCATCCTGGGAGCTCAGGCGACCTCTTCAGAAGGAAGAGATGCTATTCTGGCCCCAGAGGGCTGAAGGCCAAGCCCAGGGTTTGACTCTTTGACCCAGGGGACTGTGGGACTTCCTCTTCTCACTCTTGCTGTCCTACCAGGCTGTTCCATTCTCTTCCTCTGCTCTCAGATCCTATAGGTCCACGGAGGGGCAAGCAATAAGCAACCTGCCTCCGATCCTAGCCCCCAGACCGCGCCCTAATGATTGGAACGAAAGGAAGGGCATTTTTTTCTTGTTAAGCACCACGTGAAGGGGACAGTCCCTCCTTATCCCTCTCATTGCTTGGGCTGCAACATCTAGAACTTTCCCATAGTTCATTGTGTGGTTCATCCCTTCCCCACCAAGAGTCCATCTTACTGCCTTCTGCTGGCTGCCTTGAGGCTTTCTCCAAGGCCACAATGTCTTGCCTAGCCTGAGGATTTAAGTCCTTATGCCGCTTTAGTTTCATCGCCAGAACAAATTAAATTTTTTGGAGAATCCACTGGAGAGTGGCATTGCTGTGTGCCGGCCATATAGTCACCCAGTCCCACATTCTCTGTCCCAGAGCGGTCCCAGGAGCGCACGCAGAAGCATGGCTGTAACCACTTCCATTAAGAAAGCCTCACAACAGACACAGAGCTGTCTCCCCACATCCAGAAATGTGAGGCTATTCATTTTAGCCTGCGGCCATCCATCAAACCACTTTGGGGCTGGAAAGGTCTAGGTGCCGAAGACTAGCCCTTCCGCAGGCCCCACTTCGAGGCCACTAGGAGTGGAGGCAAAAGAGGCTCATCTTTGGCAGGGAGGGTTTTGTTCTGTAACATGACTTGCAGTGTCTCCTTACCCCTGGAACTAATACCCAAAGAGCAGGTAACCTAAGACCCAGATCTGTCCCCTCTCTGTCATCCTGGCTGGTGGCCAATGAGGCTGGGCAAGGGGGTGATTCCGCCCAGGGTCTCCATGGTGCTTCCCAGCCTGCATGGGCACCTCCCCCCCTGCCGGTCCCTTAGGGGTGAGGCACCCTTCTCTGGCTCAGGCACTAAAAATGTCAGATTAAGGAAGTGCCCCCTCCCTCTTCTCTAAAGCTGTTTTGAACCCTCAAATGCTCTCAATTTCCCTTCCCTCAGAAATTTTAATACCAGTTTAAAAACGATCAATAAAACCCCTCTTCCTTTGGGCAGTCACAGGGGTTGAGGTAGAGGGAATGGATACCCACAGTGAGGCCGAGTGGGGAGGCCAGGTCACCTTTGTTTCCAGCCTTCCTCCTAACCCCTGCCCAGCTCATCTTCTCTTTAGACCTCAAGTTCCCTTTTCTCAACACCATTATCAGCCTGTTTTCTTTCCTTCTGAGCTGCTTCACCTGTGGTCAGCTCATACTCCGGGCCCAAGCTGCTGCTTCTGTGGGGGCTGCGCAGTTGCCCCTGCAGACTCGCCCTGGGCAGGGGAGGGGGCCGGGCTGCCTGCTGCTCCCGGTGCTCCCAGTGCCGGGGAGGGCCGCACCTTCCTGCCTCAGGGCAGCCGCCTTTGAGAATCTGGTGGCCGCTGTGCACACTGCCAGGAAAGATGCACATAAACACAATTTCAGAAGTGTCACACGCGCGCGCACACACCCCAGCCGGGGAGTCCTGGGCCAGCATCTCCACCCGTACGTAAATCTTCCTCCAGAGAGGGGCAGGAGGCCGGGGAGGAAAAGCTGAGCGCCGCCTGGGAGCCCTGAGGGGCCCTGCGGGAGCCGAGGGAACGGACTCGGGGCTGGGGAAGCCTGCCGCCTCCCCGGCCTCCCCCGCCGGGCACGGGGGCGCTGAGTTGTTCCGTTCCCTGGCGCGTGTGTGGGCCGTGCTCTGGAGCCACTAGTTCTATTCTTGCCACAGTGTGGGAACAAGCTATGTTTTGGGCTGTTTGGGAACAGCTTCCAGCCAGACGGCAGGCAGAGCCCGCCAGTCCCTGGGGCGAACGAGACCCGGGTCTCCCGGCAGAGATCCCTCCAGGAAGCCGCTGCCCCCCGTGCGCAGCACGGCCGAGCGCTACCCCCACCAGTGGGTGCCGGTCACCTGCCTCCTGCGCGCCTCCGACCTGTCGCGGGGGGGGGGGGTGCTGGGGCCGCGGCGCCGCGGGGCAGAGGGGCAGGGAGTAGGGAGCCAGGGGCGGGGGGCGCGGCTTCTGGCGCCAGCCCTGCTGCTCTCGCTTTGTTCCTTGGAACCAGGCACTTCGGATCCTCAGGACTCTCCCTTGTGTTAAGTGGGGTTAGGGTGCGCCGAGATTCGCTTGTCTGAAGGATGGAAATCTCTCCCCCCGGAGGGAGTGCCCTCTCGCAGGCCACGGCGCCCGCCCGCAGGAATCGGGGGCTCCTACGGCCGCAAAAACCCGCCACAGAAACGCTTCAGGACGGCGGGCCTTGGAGCCTCCCGGGGCCCTTGTCTATGGGGTCGCAGGAGAAAGCGCTGAGGGGTGGTGGTCCCGCCGGACCCCTCGTGTAGCCTGGGGGCAGAGCACGCGGACGCCGGGCCTCGCAGCCTCGCGTGGCGTGACCGCGTGCCGGCCGCCGCTACCTTCTTCCTCCCGCGGCCGAGCCGGGGCGGCCTCTGGCGGCGGGAGGACTGAGCGGCTGGAGGGGGCGTGGGATCCCGGACGGGGCCGCCCCCGCGGGGTCTGTCAAACCGCAGGGCCCACGGAGCGCCGGGCCCGCACGAGGGCCAACCGGGGGAAACTGAGGCAGCGAAAGGCCCTGGAGCGCCCCAGTGATCCTTTCCCGCCGCAGGGGCGTCGCCGGGAGCGCCGTTTGTCCCGGGACCCCAGGCGTCTCAACCTGAACTCGTCCTCGCCCTGAGGCGTGCGATACACTCCCGCTCCGGGCCTTGCCTGGGTCCGGAGCGGGCCGACGGGGCTGCCGGCTTCTCGAGGCTGGCGAGCGCGGGGCCCGCGGGCACGGTGCGAGTGCCCGGAGCGCGGGGTCGGGGCGGGGGCCAGACAAAGGCAGGGGACGGAGAGCGAGGGAAAGACAAAGCACAGAGGGGGTCGGCGGCGGCGCCGGGGCCCCGGAGGCGGCTCCGGGCGCGGCGGAGCCAATGGGCGGGCGCGGGGCGGGGGCCGGCGGGGGCGGTGCCGCGATAAGGCGGTGGCGGCGGCGGCCGCTCGGGGACCACAGCTCGCGCCCGCGCCCTCCTCGCACCCGAGGCGCCCCCCGGAGACAGACCCCCCCGCCCCGCGGCCCAGGCCGGGGCCCCGGTGAGACCCGCGGGCGGGCCGGGGAGGGGGCCTGCATCCGTCTCGCAAACCCGGGCGCCGAGGTGGGGGTGCGGGCGCAAGGACCGACGCTCGCGGGGTCCCGACGCCCAGCGCCCCCGCCCGTCGCTCTCGCCCGGGACCCCGAGGCCAGCGGCCGCCCTCCCGGGCGGGCCTCCGAGCGAGGACGCAGCCGAATCCCTCTGGCTGCGTCCGCGGGGGTCCCGGGTTTGGGGTCCGGTCCTCGCGGGCCCGGGGGAGAGAAGCGGGGCGCGCGGGCGACGGGTCTGCCGGGCGGGGCGGGCGCGCAGCCCCGGGAGCGCTGTCCAGGGGCTGGGCCGGCCGAGCGGTGGGCAGGCGGCCTCGGCAGCGTTGGGCCGGGGTCAGGCCGGGCCAGCGGATTCTCACCGAAGCCCCGCCCGGCCCGCCCTCCCCTGACCTCCCCTAGTCCAGGCGGGGTCCCGAGCCACAGGGCACCCACGGCGGCTGCGCGGCGCCCCCTCCCCCGGCCGCTCCCGGCTAACTCTGTTCTTCCCCCGACACATGGTTCCACTCAGGGATCTCTGTCCCTTGGGGAGCAGCGTGGGGGGCGGGCGGGCGAAAGGGGGAGGTGGGTGAGGGGCGGAAGTGGCAAGACCCAGAGCAACAGGAAATGACTTAGGGAAAGTCCCAACCGCAGCCCCCCAGCCCCCTGCCTGTAAACACTCCCACCCCACCCTGCAGGCTAGGGAAGGGCTTGTGGGGCCCGACCGACCGACTTCCCCTTGCAGAACCCAGCGGGTGCCGCGTCTCCACCTGGGGCCTCCATCACCCCCACCGAGCCATGTTCCAGGCTGCAGAAGCCGCCCAGGCCACCCCCTCTCATGTAGGTGATCAGCGGGGCGGGAGGGCTCCTCTCCTTCAGACGTCTGGCCTGGGGTGAAGGGGTGAGGGGCGGCAGGTCTGTCACCCCTTGCCCCGACCCTCCACCCCCACCCCGCCAAGTGCCTGGGTTCTGAGTTGGTTACCGCAGCCCTGGTCTGGGGCATCCCTCTGACCTGGCCCTGACTGGCCTTCTCCCTTAGGAAGCCAAAGGCAGCGGTGCAGGCAGCACTGTCCAGCGCTCCAAGGTAGGGGCCCTGAGAGTGGAGTGTTGGGGGGAAGAAGGGTTGGGCATGGGTCAGACCCCTGGCTGACTCTCTCCCCCCAACAGTCCTTCAGCCTCCGGGCCCAGGTGAAGGAGAGCTGTGCCGCCTGCCAGAAGACCGTGTACCCCATGGAGCGGCTGGTGGCCGACAAGCTCATTTTCCACAACTCTTGCTTCTGTTGCAAGCACTGCCACACCAAGCTGAGGTGCGCCCTTGCCCTGCCCCTGCCCTCGCCTGCCAGCCCTGACCTGACCTGACCACAGTTGTTCTGCTTCTGCAGCCTGGGCAGCTACGCCGCACTGCACGGGGAGTTTTACTGCAAACCCCACTTTCAGCAGCTGTTTAAGAGCAAAGGCAACTACGATGAGGGCTTCGGCCGGAAGCAGCATAAGGAGCTTTGGGCCCACAAGGAGGTGGACTCCGGCACCAAGACGGCCTGAGGCCCCTCTGCCATCCACTGTCTCTGTAGAAGAGGGCCTGGAGAGGGGCAGTGGGAAAGGTGGGAAAGAGATTGGACCTGGGCTTGGGTTGGGGGGCAGGGTGGGATGGGGATAAAGCCATCTTGCTCAGGCAGAGGGTTGGGGGGCAGGGCTCAGCTCCAGGGTTCCTTCATTCTCCCTGGGGCCAGGGTGGGGGGGTCGTTTGGGAACCAGGATTGGGTTTTGCTCACCACCCTGCTTCTGACTTCTTTCAGTCTACCCCACCTCACCCCTGGCCCCCTGGGAGGCCCCCAGGCCCAGCTTCCCTATCTAGGTGCCTTTTCTCCAGCAAGGAGTCACCATGCCCCCTCAGGGTCCCAACCTCCCTCACTGCCACCTGGGGCCCTCTGGGGCCCCCATGTCTCCCCATCTACCTCTGCCCTTAGCCTGGTTCTGAGCCATGGAGACGGGAGGAAGGAGAGCCAGCGAGCCCTGGCTGGGCCTCACAGAATGCCCACGAGGGCCCTGGGGGTGGGGTGGGGAGGGGGAAGTGGATTAGCCCCGCCCTCCCCTGAAAGAAGAGGCGGGGCATGCCCAGTGGGGCTTGGGACCCATCTTGCACCATCGGAGTCAAGAAGCAGAAGCTAAAGCACCTGCCATGCTAAGAGCCACAGAGACTGGCTGGGGTCTGGCATGGGCCACGCTCCTCTCCTCTTGTCCCCCGTTGCTGCCGGTTCTGACTGTTGTGATCAACCCTGTTTTAAACATGTTTTAACAGATTCTGACTCTGTATTATGTGGCCTGATGGGGCAGTGGGTGGGGGTGGGGGCTTTGTGGCAGGAAGGATGCAGACTTATGCAGAAGTGACAGGGACATGGTCAGCCCAGAGCGCTCCTGGCCTTGATTGGGGTGGGGGCTGGGGCTCGTGATGGGTGTGAAGGAAGTGATGCCAGCCTGAGAAAAAGAGGGGGTGCTCTTTTTTTAAACAGGCAGGCCTCCGTGCTGTCATAACCAGAGTGGTTTTAGAACAGAAATTCCACTTTGCTTCTCAGCCTTGGGTCGGTTACAAGAGGGTCAGGACAGCTGGCTCAGTTGGTAGAGGATACAACTCTTGATCTCAGGGTTATGAGTTCAAGCCCTGCACTGAGTGTGGAACTTACTTTAAAAAGAAAAAAAAAAAAAGAGGGTCAGGCCATCAGTAGGTGATGGGGCATGGCCTCACTGCCTTTCAGTATACTACAAGGCAGAACCCTTCTGCTGAGTCCTTGTCTGGAACCCCCTCGCCCTGGAAATCAGCAAAGGATGGTGGACACCAGCATATTCAGCAAGTACTGTTGAAAGTTCTCTAGCTCACTGTGTCCTTCCCCATCTGTCATCTTCCCCTTGCTTTTTCAAGCTCTGGAGTAGGACAGCCACAGTCCCATCTCAGGTAGTCCAAGGAGAAAACAGCTTATCTGCTACTCTGAGGGACAAGTTTACAGCAGGGCAAGCAAAGCCAACCTGGAGGCCCTGAGACACCCCTACCCCGAGCGGATTATATGCGGGAAGTCCGGGATGTCTGTCCCAGACCCATCTGTTCTGATTTCCCCAAACTGTCCGTGGGCTACATGAACCGGTGGAGCCAGAGGGCTGACTCCTGGGGGACATGCTGCCACTGCACCCGATCTAAGACCGTATGTTCCTAAGTGATGCCATGGCCATAGGTCAGGGTAGGGAGTGGGTACTCAAACTGGTGGCAGATGGGCCACTGTGCTGTGTGAAGTAGACGCTGCCCCTTGCAGCAGAGCTGCGTCTCAGCAGAAATGGCACTGGGTCTTCAGCATGAGGAGCACTGAGAGGCTCATTCAAGGCTGGCCCAAATTCTGCGTTGGAGGCCTCAGATGGGGACAAGGGCAGTCTCTCCTTGCTCTGAGCAAGGCCAGGGGAAGATAACAGAGACGTGGCTCCTGGAGATGACTAAGCCCTGCCCTGCAGAACACGGCTCAGGGGAGGACTTCCCTGCCCTGAGAAGACTCCTAGATGCCATGAAGTTCTGGAACCCAGCCACTGGTGACACTTGGGTCAGGGGTGGCTGACAGTACCGGCTTGATAATCAGTCCTGACAAGCACCCTCAGCAGAGCTCCTGCCAGTGGGGAAAGAAGGGCGCCACCTCTGAGCTAGCAGTGGTATCAACCAAGTCACCCTGCCTCGGACCCTGCTTGGAGTCATTTCAAGTTCTCTGCTGAGGGACCCAAGCTGGCTACCAGGCACCATACCTGCTCCTCCTGGGAAAACACCTACTCTCTCCACTCCCCACCTGGAAGCATTGCCACAGGACCCCTTGGGTATAAATGATCCCTTTTATTGTAAGTAATGCGCGACACTGGCCTGGCTTTGCACTGCAAGCCCTCGGTCGAGATATAGTCCAGTAACTATGGCTGCAGGTTCTTCTGCACGATCCACAATTCAGACACAGACACAGAGCTGAGGTGGGCAGGAGGGGCAGGAGGGGCGGGAGGGCGGCGGAGTGTGGACTGTCCCCAGCCCTGGCCTCTCCACGTAGGTCTGGCCGAGGCTGACATAGCCCATGGAATGCTGAGCAAATGGCAGCGCGGCCCTTCTCACAGCAAGCCTGGGGCTGCCAGGGGACTGCCTTTTAGAATCTTCGGGCCCAGGCTGTCCTAGGCCCACAGCTTGTTATCTGGGTTATTTACTATAAAGACAATAAATTAAAATTAAGCAACAGCTTGGTCCTGAGGATGCTGAGCCAGCATGTCCACAGTTTTTGGCACACAAAAAAAATCAGGGTCTTTCGTTTTTTTGGAGTGCAGCGTTTGTTGGCCTGTTTGCAAATTCACTTTGAAAACCCATTCCCTGTGAGGTAAGACCCCAGGAGGTGGGGCTCTGTGAGAGCCTGAAGCTGGGACACACAGAGTCGTCTTGTCGCATCCGCACCGTGCTGTTTCCTCTTGGGGAACAGGGACTGGGGACGGGGGTGTGGGCCCAAGAAGAGTGCTACAGCCATCAGGATGGAGTCGTGGAGAGGCCGAGCTGCCACGTGGCGGCTTTGGTCAAGTTGAGGGGCCAGTCCCCACCCTGGGCCAGGGCTGAGGTGGAGACAGGAGCACATGCTCACTGTCTTCAGAGGGCTGAGCTGGGGTGCCTGACAGAGGCCCCTGGGGGAAAAGGATGGAAACAGAGGGGCTCAGGCCCAGCTGGCACCGTGCAACACACATTCCTGCAAAACCAGCTGCTTTCATTTTCTCTTCTCTCTCTTGAGGCGTCCATCACCTGTAACAATCTAGAATTGATATATATAAAAACCATCAAATATGATCTGAGATATAAATTAACAAGTACAAGGCCTCACATTACATGATGTGAAAAGGCTAAAAACAGCGATAGAAACTACATTCATAAAAGTGCATCGTCAACATACAACGAAGGCTTTGGCTTGTTCTGGTGCCCATGGGGAAGTGGGCATGGCTGGCAATGAGCTGCCTGGCGCTAATCCCAAGCTCCCCAGAGAGGCCCATCCCTGGGCACTGACGTTGTTTTGTTGTTGTTGTTGTTGTTGTTCCTTTAATGACAACTCCCAAGGAAACTGGGCGTTGGGAGGGAGGAGCTTTAGCAATAGGCACATTTTGGAGGGGAGGGGCCGGAAGAAAAGACCAGCGCCCAGGCTGAGGTAAATAAGGCCAACTCTAAGCTGCTTGGAGATACTGGCTCCCCGACCCCTGCTACCATTCCTCCTCTAAGAAGGGAAAGAGGTGAGACCTCATGGGGATGGGTGAGGCTGGCCAAGGAGGAACAGAGATGGTAGTTTGGGACAGAGTTGGTGACATCTTATGGGCTCTCCCTTCTACCAGGCAGAGAGGGCTCTGGCCTAGCAGGGTCACGACTCACAGACAGCCTGATCCGACTTCCCTGGCTATCCAGAAGAGCCTGCCCAGGGCTCAGGGCAGCCAGCTGGGTCAGATCCCCTCACCATGATGTCCATATTCCTTTCTGCTCCAGTGGGGGGAAAGGTGCCAGGTCAGGAATACAAAGGCCATTACCTTCAGCTCTTTCCAATCCAGCCCAAGGCCCAAGCCCACAACAGGGATACTTAGAGCCCGAGGGCACACAGTCTCCAGTTTAGAAACTGGATACAGCATAAGAGTGACTCCAACTTGTAAAACAGAGACAATTGCATTGACAAAACTGGGTCTCCCCCCCCCCAAGTGGGGGCAGTTCCACACCTAAAGCCCCTGCTGGGGGAGGGGGGGTGTGGGGTCATGGGGGCAGGCAGGATGGGCTCCTCCTTCCCTGAATAAGGCAGCATAACATTTGCTTCATTCATCTTTGGTAAAGGACAGGGACTGGCGAAGCTGACCTGGGGGCTCCGGGGAGAGCACAGCCCCAGCCTCTGCCTTCCATTGGCTGTGGGATGCTGGGCTTTACCTCAGGCTTGGGTGGGCTTATCCAGCCCAGAGATGCCCTGGTGGTCTCCAGACATGGGAGGAGAAACACAATAACACTCTGAATGAAAGTAACACTATTCAGACCCTCATGTCCGTCCTGGGCCCCCAGACCCGTGGGGCTTTGGCGCTGACTGCGGCATCAACACATAGCCCTGAGGGGAAGGCCCTCAGCGCTTTGCACACTGTTCCGAGCCCCTTTCCCTCCACGTGGAGCTGAGGATGCCAGAGCTCTCAGGTCTGGCAGGCTGGGGGCTCCCAGTCCTTGAGGCTGCAGCCACCCCGCCGTGGCTCTGAGCCCCAGTGGTGGGAGGGGCGCAGACAAACGCTGGTTGGACTGGAGCTCCATGGTCCACAGCATTGCCTGGGAGAAGCAGCAACTTCGCGGAGCCCCTCAGTAGCCCCTTGCCCCGCAGCAGGGGCAGCTGGCAACAGTGTGCCTTGCGAGCTCAGTACACGAGCTGTGCAAAGTGGTGTGTGAGCAGCTCCTCAGCCGAAGGTCTCTGGCGGGCCTCCACAAATATGCGCCTCAGGAAGTCCCGGCCGTGCTCAGAGATGTGGGAGGGCAGCTGAGGATTGGTGGGCTGCGTGGCGATCTTGAAAATGGCAGCCATGGCTTCATACTCTGCCCAAGGTGGTTTCTCTGTCAGCATCTCTACCACAGTGCAGCCCAGGCTCCTGGAGAGAGAGAATCCCATGTCATCCCAGGCTCCCTGACCTGCCCACCATCATGAAAGGAGGTACCTTTCTCAGAACACCCTGAGGCAGGACTGGGCAAGCTGAGGGTTGACACCTCTGTAGGGGTCCCCAAGGCCTCATCTACAAGGGCTTCATTGACCTACACCCACTTGGGTGAATCTTTAGATTGGGGAAGAGTCCCCTTGGCATGGACAGAAAGAGCTCTGAGATAATCGTGTTAGTTTCCTATTGCCACTGTAACAAATTACCATAAGCATAAGACATAACAAAAATGTATTCTGGAGATCAGAAGTCCAGAGCTAGTCTCAATGGGCTAAAGTCAACGGGTCAGCAGGGATTGTTCCTTCTGGAGGCTCTGCTTCTAGTGGCTGCCAGCACTCCTTGTTTCACGGCCCCTCCTTATACCACTCCAGTCTCTTGCTTCCACTGTCCCATCTCTTGCTATCTACTCTCACCTGCTGCCTCCCTTTTGTAAGGACTCCAATTATCCTGAGCCACCCTAGATAATCCAGGATAAGCTCCCCATCTCAAAATCCTTAAATTAAGCATATCTGCAAAGGCCTTGCTGACACATAAGGAAACATTAACAGGGCGTGGATTACTACATGGGCATCTTTGGGGAACCATTACTCAGCCCACCACAATACCGTTCTGAGGGGAAGAGATGCTCTCACAACTTCCAGGCCCTTTCAGAGGATGCACAAGAAGGAAGATAGAGCAAACACAAGCCATCTGAATGCTAGGAAAGAAAGAATCCTGCTACGATTCAGAGACTGACCCAGGCCTTCAGACTGGTGCTGCTTCTGTTAGGAATTTAGCAAACACTAGGGATGTTTTCCATGGCCCAAGTTCTCATCAATAGCAGATAGGCGCTATTTGAGGTTAAAAGGCAACGCACTTGCCGTATGTGCTGGGGTGGGCACCAACGTCCCTGTACTCGTGGAGCCTGCCTCCTGGCCTGGCTACTGAGAGGTGAGTCTCCTCTTCCTCCCACCACACCGCACAGCCCCCACAGCTCATTTCCAAGTTAGGGTCATGACAGCCCAGACGTGGAGAGGCCATCCCCGCATGTCCTCAGCACTCACCACACATCTGCCTTCCTTCCGTAGCCCTCACCACTGATCACCTCGGGGCTCATCCAGTAGGGCGTGCCAGTGACGGAGCGCATGCCTGTGCCTGACATGCAGATGGTCTGCAGGCGCTTGCTGGCCCCGAAGTCCCCCAGCTTCACGTTCCCGGCAGAATCTCGGAGGATGTTGGCTCCTAAGGCATGAAAGGGCAAAGGCTACAACTCTGGGCCCTAGAGCATTTTCTACCATCCACCCTCTTCCCCTCCCCACCAGGTCACGGGGCTGCAGGCAAGGATGGAGACTACCGTGAATGAGACATGACGTGCACAGAGTGCCACTGGCTCCGCCCTATAGCAAACGATCACCACCATGGCCAACATCTGCACAGCACTCTACAAGTGGCTTCCCCAATTACCCAATCAATCCATACCAACATCCCAAGGAAGCAATTAGAGTCTCACTTTTCAGAAAATTCAGAATGGTTAAGTGACCAGGTCTCAGGGACCCCATAGCTTGTTCCTGCTCACCCTTGATGTCTCGGTGAACGATCATGTTGCTATGCAGGTAGGACATGCCCTCCAGGATCTGCCGGGTGTACTTGCGGGTCACACTCTCTGTCAGAGCTCCGTAGGCCTTCAGCTGGTCTTTCACTGAGCCCTGCAGCCACAGGAGTCAGAGGGAGTCAGCTCAGAAAAGGGTAGGGAGGGGGCGCCTGGGTGGCTCAGTGGGTTAAGCCTCTGCCTTCGGCTCAGGTCATGATCTCAGGGTCCTGGGATCGAGTCCCGCATCGGGCTCTCTGCTCAGCAGAGAACCTGCTTCCTCCTCTATCTCTCTCTCTGCCTGCCTCTCTGCCTACTTGTGATCTCTCTCTGTGGAATGAATAAATAAAATTAAAAAAAAAAAAAAAAAAGAAAGAAAAGGGTAGGGAGGGGGGCACGGCTATTTCCAGCCCCCAGCATTGCAACAAAGGAGTGATTCAGGCAATCCCAGTGAGCGATGCCCCTGGCTTTGCTGGGGGGGTAGCCAGGCAGAGTAACCAGAATGGTCCCCTTAAGCAATGTATGACCAAAATCCAGGAGGGAGGCCCCTCTGCTCCAGATACAGGCGGTCCTTACTGGACAGTGCAACCACCCTATAAGCCTCAGGTCAGGGTGGCCTCTTTTGTGGGTGTCCCACATGCATGGAGGAGCACGTACCCCCGGCATGTACTCCATGAAGATGGTCAGAGTCTTCTCAGCACGGTCCCGCAGACAGCCGTAGTACTGCACTATGCGCTCGTGCTGCAGGTTCTTCAGCAGCTGGATCTCACACTCCAGAGCACTCACCTCCTAGGGGAGGGACCCGGGGGTTACCCTGGCTTGCAGGGTCCCGCTCCTGCCCACCTGGAATCAGCTCCGGTTGCCCTAATAAGTGACCTCGGAGGGGTCTGTCTGCCTTGGGAACTTCAGCTGGAGCAAAGGGGAACTCTCTTAACCGTCTGGCCCTGGGATGCAATGCTGGGTGACCCATGGGACAGCGGCACTCCCATGCCGGAAGAAGGCAGACGGTGGGGTGGGAGAAAGGGTGTAGGTACTGAGTTAAGGTAACTGCTGCATTTGTTCACTGAGATTGGAGTGTAGGCCACACTCGAAGCTGAACTCCAAAGCTAAGCTCCTTCCTGGATGAGGGTTGAGAGGCCTCCCTTGGGGAGGGTGGGCAGGTACTGTTCTTTGTGGCGCTGGCCGCTGCCTCTCAGCGCAGGTGGTTTGGTACTTTGACATCAACTCAGCTCCTTATACCTAATCCCTCCCCCAGGGGGTCTGATGCTTCTTCAGACCACAGTCTCTTCGCCCCGTGGCCATGGCCAGGGTGGAGAGCAAGGGAACTTGAAGAATGATGGGGGAAGCAACCTGTAGCTTTTTGAGCAGTTAATCTACACAGTGAGATAGGAATTTCTGTTAAGGGGGGAAACTGGAAGCCAGACCATGGGGAAGGCAGTACCTTGCTTGTCTCAGGGCTGTCTGGATCAAACTGGACTTGTTTGGAAGCAAGTTCACGTCCTGTGTCCACATCATAGCACAGGTAGACCCGGCCAAAGGCACCCTGGCCCAGGAGCTTCCCACGACGCCAATTGATGGGGGCACTAGGAGCTATAGGAGAATGGAAGGAAAGAGCATTAGCTCAGGTACATTATTTACTGAGATCTTCTGTTAGTCTCCAGAGGCTCTGTGATGGGACCTCCAGCTCAAGACCCTGCTCACCCAGCACCCTCCCATCTCTCAGCCCAGCATCTCCACCCCCATCCAGAGCAGGCTCAGGGCCCTCCCTGATCCATGGGACCACTGAGTCTGAGTCCTGAGAGACAGACGACTGGCTACCGTCACGGTTAAACACTCCTCTGTATTGATCAGATACCTTTACTTCCTAAGTCCCTAAACATCTGAATATGGCAAAGACTGAGGAGTCCGTTTAAACACAGAGAGACTAAAGACCAGAGCGGGGAGTGGCATGCCACACCACAGCGGAGCGAGGCCTAAGGTCCAGGGGATCCGCCGCCGACCCACAGGCTCTTCCAGTGTAGTGAGGCTGGGCCACAGCAGCCTCCTGCTGAGCTGAAAAGCCCCAGGGGACCTCTGGCCTCCTGCGCTGCCGCCTATCTGAGCACCCCCTGGGCAGTCCCTTCTGGCCAGGGCCCATTCCTCACACTTGGTCGGCACATTCCTCTCCTGCACAGAGAGGGCATTCTCGCTGTCCGCACTTCGCAGGCGCCCTCTGGGGTCCAGGTATTGCACTGCCAGACCCATGTTCTCGCCATTTGTGCTCAGGGAGCGGCTGGACGGCACCAGGGTAAAGAGGTTGCCTTGATGACGCCGTATTCGTGGAAATGTTCTTCTGCCTGAAGGGATGCAGGAGCCAGGGTAGAGCAAGTCAGACCCCTGGCCACGGGGCTAAATGTGCAAACCACATCATCCCATCTGCCCTTGTACCTAATCCATGCCAGAATGGCTAATGTCCCAAGCACCCTGAGAATCAGGACAAAAGCAGGAAATTAGGAAGCAGCCAGGGATGGTTCAGGAAGCTCTGGCCAAAGGGAAGGCACAGGGCTAACCCTCCAGCACCACATCACTCACAAGGCCAATCCACTGCTGCTGTCTGTCTTCCTAAACCTAAACCTTTGCGGAAGCTCCATTCTGTCTGCTGCCATGGGGCAGAAGAGGGCGCTGGAGAGCTAGCACCATGGGGCACACTAGGGATTCAGACCAAGGACAGTGTTTCCAGCGGCAGCATCTTGGTTTCCAAACACCGCCCTTCCACCCATCTCCCCTCTGTCTCTAGTGCCTCAAGTGTGGCCACAGCTCCTCAGGAATAAAGAAAACATTTGGTCTGGAGGGCCTGGGCCCCGCCGCTGGCAGTGGCTTTTGGATGGCAAAGCTCTACCCATGTCCATTCTGAGGCAGCCAGCAGGGGGCAGGGTAGAGGCATTACTCACCCTCATTATAGTCCTTGTGGTGCACAGACACATGGTAGCGCCGGGGGTAGGTTCCACCTTTGACCCCTTTGTCATACAGCTGAGTTTCCCGATCTGAGTAAGACAGAGGAGATGAGGAATGGCTGGTTTGGGGCAGCTCAGTGTGAGTGAGCCATTTAAGCCCCTATGTCACCTGAGACCTCAGAGCAGCAGGCCAGAGGAGAGTTAAAATACAGTTCTGGCTTCCCAACTTGGCTACCAAAAGCAGAATGCCTGCTGTTTCAACCAGATACCCCGTGGTGCTCTTCCAGGATCTGGGGAACTCACCTGAGAACTCCTGTCTGTTGTCTGGGAAGCTCTGGGCTCGGGACATTCTTGATTTGCGGAAGGATGGGCTGGAAAAAAACAAAACAAAATCACAGTGTAGACTTAGCCTACTTCAAAAAGCTTCCCATGAGGGCAGAAGACAGGATTCTCTTTTCTGACTCCCTCCCGCATCATTACACGGGATAGAAAAAACAGAAAACAAAATATCCAGACTGCCTAGCTTACCACAATGCCTGCTTGGTGTGTAATCTTTCCTCACAGTTTGGGAGGGAAGCAGAGTTTGAGAGAAACAGCCCTTTTCTGAGTTCGGCCTACTGCTTTCTCTTTAAGAGTCTGAGGTCCAAATCTGACAGGACCTGGAAGAATCAATTCATCCAGCCCTCGAAAACTCCACCTTGGAATCTGGCACACCACTTTCCCTTCTCGCTCTTTCCTCCCACCTTGGTAACAGGGGATGAGTTGCAAAACATCTCTTGCCCAAGGCAGTAATAAAAATAACAACACCAAATATCTTCCTTTCAGACTAAGCACCACCCCACTTTAGAGATAGGGAAACTGAGGAATGGAGAGGTTAAGGGAAGCTATTTGACTTATATTTGATGGGGAGCTGGGGTCTATGTGGCTCCAGATCCTGTAAGGAGGAGAGGAAAGCCCTGTGCTCAAGTGAGGCCAGGCCTCAAAGGAGTAAGTCCAGGTCACTGGGTTTTACTCCCAAGGAAATGAAAACAAAGCATTGGAGGGACGGAGGCAAAACCCAAGGATCAAGCGGGTACACTCAGCTATCTTTCCTAGAATTTACTGGAATGGTCCTCTACCTTCCATGTGAGACTGCCTTTTGAGAGGGCCCCGGGTCAGAAATGGTCAAGGCAATGACATGGGGGCTGCCTCCTACTTCACAACTATTAGACCTTCCACGGCTTGTTCTGCTGCCCACCCCACCTCCCAGCCCTGCTTGGCCATAAAGCTTAGGAGATAATCCAAAATCAGAGTTGGTCCCTATCCTGGCAGTCTTCAGTTTGTGGAAGCAGCTCCTGGCACTTTTACCTGGGCCTCCTTGCTCCCCTGGTTGAAGAGCAAGCCCCAAGCAATGCTATGAACTGGGCACCAACAAGTAACTATGACTGTACTCTATGACGTCTAGAGGGAAGACAGTGTTCATCAGTTTGCAGATCTGTTAGGAAAGACAAAGTACAGATTTGGCCAGTACCCATGTGAACAATTTATCAGTTACACAAAGGAAAAAAAAAATCCCCAAACTTGGTCCAGCCCTAAGCCCAGCCAGCCATGATCAAATATGCTATTGGGCATAACAAGGTCAATGTGAGAGACTGGCTGGATCAGTGCCAAAGCCAACTCTAAACATACCCCTGCTGATGGGTGAACCGGCTCTACAGAACCATTTGGTATGTAAAAGACAGCACTTGTTCCCTCCTAAAGTGTGAGAACAAGATTACACACCAAGCAGATACTGTGGTAAGCTAGGCAGTCTGGATATTTCGTTTTCTGGTTTTTCTCTCCCAGTTTCTTACTCCATCAGAAACACTTGGAGGAAAAAAAAAAAAAAAAAAAAAGAAAGTAAATGCACAGGTAAGAATTCAATATTTGCCCCAAAACATTGAAGGTTCACTACTTCTCAGGCCAGATCACAGCAATGAGGCCAAGGGCACAAGAGCAGCATGTATTACACAGAAACTAAAAACAAGTAAAGCGCTTGGGATAACAGAGCAAACATTTAATGCATGTGACTTGCTCTTGTGAGCTACTGTTACACTCACCTAATTACACAAACATAACATTCTCACAGTACTTGAAAAATTAAGGAGAGGGTTAGGCATCCCATAAAGAGGTTTCTTCCCCAGAAGCATGATGTTTTAACCGTGGACCTGCAGACTGCCGTCTAGATCAGAGGCATACTAGCTAACTCTGTTTCCTCAGCCCATCAGTCCCAAACATGCCTATGCACTAGCCCCCAAAGCAGCCACAGTCCCATACCTGTCTGCCGACCTGTCCAAGGATTGGCAGCTTCCTGACAAGGAATTTTCAGCACTGCTCAGGGGATCCAGTATCTGCAAGGCAAGTCACACAATAAAACCCCAGCCCCAGCTCCAGTCCCAGCTAGGTAACTCATGGCCCACTGACCTAGCCAAGGCCAGCAAATAGTCCTTTTTGTCAAAATATGAAAGTACCCTTTCTCTGCCTGTGCAGTGGGAAGAATGGTTAGGAAGGTACCATTCTCCCCTGTAGTTTGAAAGGCAACTTCCCAGGAGGGAAAAAAATGCCTGGCCAGCATCCCAAGGAGCTCTGCCAGGAGAGCAAAGCAGAGACACTACTTCTCACGTTGGCATTTTGTTGGCTCATGAACACTGGGAGCCCGGCACGGAAGCTGGTACTACCCCGCGGAGGCTTCCATGGCATATGGGTGGGACTGTAATGTTTCTGTTTATACTTCATAATTTTAAAATTTACAGAGGCAAGTATTGCCCTTGTTTCATAGGCCACTGAAGGTCTAGGAAGGTTAGGAGAATTGTTTCAAGTCACGAAACTAGCATTATGCAGCTGATACAGATGAAAAATGTTCCCGGTTCTCAAAGGGAGGCAGTAAGTATCTATGTAAGTTAAAATGTTTCTCTAGCCCTTGGTCAATGAGGTAACAAAAAGCCTTCAGGTTAGCTTTGTCTCCAACTCATGTCCCTTCATTTTGCCCGTGGGTGGATTCCTTATTAGAGTATTCACGGTCTGAGATCCAAAGTTAAACATTACAGAGGGAAGCAAAAATCAGAATTATGAGAATTCACTAACAACATTCATAAAATTAGTTTCCAACTCAAATTACCCCTTCCTATTTAATACTAGGGTTCATCTTGCCCATAAGTTAAAAGTGAGACCAGTTAACAGAAGAATGTGCAAATACAGTAACGTGAAAGGCATGTTAGGAAGGAGGAAGAACACCAAAGATTCAAGAGAGGCCTTTGGAAAATCCACTGAATCCTATGAAGCCTTCTGTTAAAAAGGGCCCTCTTTATAACAGTGTCACAGCAGTCAAAGGGGAAGTAAAGGAGGTTACATTGTGCCAGCAAAATTTTTGTTAGAAAAATTAAGCCAAAAAACTTAACATGAATCATGCTTTTGTTCATTCTAAAAATTAGCAAACAGATGCAACTACTACCTTAATCTGATGAAAGAAAAAACAAAATAAACCTATCTTAGTTTCACTTTTCAAGAAAGTCCCAGTTGAATATTCTTTCACTATATACTACACTGTTTTGGTCTCTGTTAAGTGGATTTATCTTGAATTGCTGGTTACCAGGAACAATTCACTTTAGCTAAGGGGAAGGACCGAGGCATTTCTTCTTTGGCCTCTGTCTAAAAATCTGTCCTCACTAGGAGTCCAATACTCCCATACCTTCCAAGGGTAGCCAGGTAAAGCAAAGATGTAAAGGGACCAGGATATAGGTCCATGGGGAAGGACAGAGACAAAAGCAATGAACTCATTCACAATCTCAGATTTTACACCCAAGTCACCTCTAACACAGCTGATGGCCAGAAGTGCTCTGGCTAGAGAAAACAGAAAGGATGGTCAGTAAAATACCCAATAAAGGAATCCTTAACTAAAAGCACCCCAGGTCACTGCCCTAAACATAAATTTATCTGGAAAGCAGGAATTACAGAAATAAAAGCAACAGTGTAAAGGGCTTCTCACAGTCTATGTACTTTGGATAATGCTTTATAGAAATTAGCTATCACTGGGAAAGAAAAGTTTTAAGAATGAGTTTTAGGGGAAAGAAAAGTTATAAGCATCAGTTCTCTGTAAACCCCCTCATGCGGTGGTGCTGGCCCTTGTATTGGATGCTTTGCTCTTAATAAATTTCCCTTTCCCAGACCAAATCCTAAACATTTTTAAGAGCGGATCTTTCTCTTATGCAATCAAAGCAAGCTTATCGAAAAGACTTCACAATGAAGCCAAAGATCTCACTCTTGCTGAGTTCACGAAGCCAAAATGCCATTTTCATCAAGTGAGCCACTAGGTAAAAGTTAGCCCTTAAAATGGGTGAGCCATTGTGGTGGGCATACTCTAAGGGTGGCCGCCACAGTGAGTCACAGTCTTGTATAAACCCCTCCCCTAAAGTAAGGGTAGAACTGATAGTTTCTAGTCAAGACTACGGCAAAGGGGGTGGCATATTCATCCCCATGATTACGTTACAGTTGATGGCTCCATCTTTATTACAGACCGAAGCAAGAGATTCTCCTCTGGCCTTGAAAAAGCCGCCACATTGTGAGAGAGCCATGTAGCAAGGAACTGAAAGTGGCTTCTAGGAGCTCAGAGTGGCCCCTGGCCAACCGACAGCAAGAAGAAGTAACCCTGAACGGAGGACCCCGTTAAATCATGCCTCGGTTCCTTACCCAGGGAGATTATAAAATAATAACTGTATGGCGTTTTTAAACTGCTAAGTTTGTGGTAGTCTGTTGTGTAGGAAGAGATGACTAACACAGCTACCATCATAAAAACTCACCCAAAGTAAGCATTTCTATAGTGTAATTTGGATATGGTACACCCCCTACCTTTCATCAAGAAATAGTAAAACTAAAACATGGCTGACGAACAACAAAATCTGTGAGTTTAGGATTGGTCATAGGTTAAACTCTGCTGCTTTCACAGGCAGTTGTAAGGAAGTGTTCCAATAGCAGAGTGGGGTTCTGCAGGAAGCCCACTGAGGGCAGCTCAGCAGAGGAAATACCTGTCAAATGCTCATCCAACACCAAGGTGGCTGGTAGTTTACACACTGTTCGCGGCAGGAATTAACAGCTGGCCCCTAAAAAGATTCATCCGTATCTGGGAAGGCCTAGTTTACAAAGGAGCTACTGGATGGGGTTCAGATCCCTCAGCTCTGTCCCATTCCCACGGAGAAGCCCCATTACAACCTTGGTTGGACACATGCCAAGGCGCACCCCGAGCCCTATACTCACACACTGCTCGCTGGTCTCCGGGATGAACTCCCCCTCACTGTTGATGCTGGTGTAGGAACCCTGCCGGGCAATGCGTTGCTGTCGCTCAGGCACGTAGCCAGGGGGAGGCGAGCTTCGGCCAGGGTTCTGGGAGCCTAGAGCACAGAAACAAGACCTTTGACAACAGAGCCCAGAATGTGTGGTGGAGAGCGGCAGAGAGGGGGTGAGGTCAGACCAAACACCTGGTGCAGAGGCTGGTACCAGGTAGGAACTCAGCAGAATTCCATTTATTTCCTTCACTCTATGAGGCAGATAGAAAAGGGTTAGACTCAAGATCCATTCTACTGGGGCGCCTGGGTGGCTCAGTCGTTAAGCATTAAGCGTCTGCCTTCAGCTCAGGTCATAATCCCAGGATCCTGGGACTGAGCCCCGAGTCAGCAGGGAGCTTGCTTCTCCCTCTCCCACTCCCCCTGCTTGTGTTCCCTCTCTTGCTATCTCTCTGTCAAATAAATAAATGAAATCTTAAAAAGAAAAAAAAAGATCCATTCTAACTTTCTAGTATGCCTTCCTGTATTTCAGAAGTTAATCAGCTAAAAGCTATTATTCCTAAGACCCCCTAAGGTCCAGCCAATCAGATGTGCTTGGGTGAGATTTAGTTGGCTGCCTGCGGCTCCCACTGCTCCTGGGCGCAGTCGCAGAAGGCCTGGTTTGTACGCGGCGGCATTAGCAGAGGCCCCGCAGCTGGAGTCCAGTTTTCCTGACATCAAGACACAGGTGCAGACCTTCCTATGTACGCGCTGTGGACCAGAGCAGAGGGGCACGGGGCTTCTGAATCTGGTAGCTTCCTGGTTACAGAAGAGGGAGGAGCCCTGTGGCTTCTTAACCTAGAATCTGTTTCTTTCTCTACAATCACTTTGTAAACCAGGATGTGCGCTAAGTCTCTTCTTCCCAAAACTAGTTAGAATGGATTCTACCCTGTGCACCTGAACCCTGACCAATACACTCTGGAGTGAAAAGGTATTACACATTTGACAGAGAATGAACCAAAAGTATCTCTTGTAAGGGACTGATTAGAGAGGAAGAAAAACTTACTTACTGATGAAGTCCCAGACAGTGGTCCAAAGGATCCCCAGACAGGATGAACTGCCCTCAGTCTGTTACAGGGATTCTCTAGGTGAAGCCTCCCTGGGATAAAATATCCAAGGCCCTGGACACCCATTCTCTCCTTTACCAGTTGCCACTGAACTCTCCCCTGGTTTTACAGGTAGGATGGGACTGGCTTGCATGAGGCCAGCTCTACAGACCCAGGAGGGGCTGGGGGAAAATAGCAAAGGTTTTCTGAGCTTTTATTTCCAGCCAGAGACTTTCACTTTTTCCAGTACACACCACTGCCTGCAGAGAGCCGGCCTGGCTATCTGATGGGCAGTGGGCCAGGGGCTATTGTGCACAGGCCCACAGCTTGGGGCAGGAAAGGGAAGTCTCCCCAAACCAATGGCTATCAGAGGAAGCAAATGGAAAAACCAGGAGTTGGCAGAACTGCTCCAGAGCATTTTCAGTTTTGTTTTTATCTTCAATTCAAAAATTGGGGGCTAATGAGACACACAACAGCCGTCAAGAAGAAATGAGACAGGGACCTTAACGGGTCAGGATGCCGGGCTGCGAGACTCACCAATGCACCCATTATTAACAAAGACATGTTGTAACGTATTAACAAAGACAGCAGTGAAATAGATAGTACAACCACAGTACGATGCAAGACAACTCACTCTAGGCCTTGGAAGGTGTGGTGGGGATGGCAAGCTCTCTGGGATGCCCTTCCTTAGCATTCCAGACGGGTCTTGCTCTGTTCTCATGAGGCTGTTTGTGTCAAGGGGGCCCCATCAGCAGCAGCTGAAGCAACAAAGCAGAGTCGTCGTCCTGTGTGCAGAGCAACCCACAGCTCTGCACCAAGGTGTTCTACACACAAGGAGAAAGCCAGGGCTTGAAGCTGCTGACCGGCTGTAGTTCTCCCAGGGCATGCCAGCCCTCACTGGCTCCTTAACCCATAGTGCAAAGTCCGAGCAAAACTCTCACCGAAAGCTGAAAGACGGGGTCTCCGATTCTAGCCCTTCCATGGGAGACTCGGTCAGGAAGCTGATGCGGGCAGGAAGTTCCCTCCGCAGGGAGTTTTAGGGTTTGGGGTCAGTGTTAATGCGCAGGACATTGCAAGTACAAAGAGATAGCTGTTTTGGCCATCAACTATTTTCTCGAAATCCTGCTATCTCTTGCTGGGCAGATGAGACTGGGGGAGGAATCAACTCTGGGAAATCCTGAGCAGTATTTTTCGGTGTGCTCCCACTGGACCAGGCTGTGCAGAACGGAGCTTCTCAACATTTCATCCCATAAGACCCTGAGAACTTCCTGGATGTTTCAACTTCCAAAATTCCCATCTGATTTTGAAGTTGCCACCGCTACTAAATAGTTTCTGGTCTCATCCGGCATCACAGAAGAGTTTAAGGCAAGGAGGAAAACCCGGTGGAGGTGAAGGAAGCTGACCTGTGCGATGGGGGGCTCCGCCCTTCGAGCTGCACCAGGGCAGGAGGTCTGCGCCGTGCACGGCTCTGTAACCAGCTGCTGCCAGGGCTCCCTGCAAGTCACCTCATCTTTTCTTTTCTTTTTTTTTTTTTAAAGATTTTATTTATTTATTTGACAGAGATCACAAGTAGGCAGAGAGGCAGGCAGAGAGAGAGAGAAAAGAGAAAGCAGGCTCCCTGCTAAGCAGAGAGCCCGATGCGGGGCTCGATCCCAGGACTCTGGGATCATGACCTGAGCCGAAGGCAGAGGCTTTAACCCACTGAGCCACCCAGGCGCCCCTCACCTCATCTTTTCAACACTCTCTCCTCCTCTGCCTGAATTTTTTCCTCCTCCTCCCCTCCCCGTTACCAAGGCATCAGGCACCCTCTACCTGCACTCCCCATGTCACCTGCAGGAGTCACCTTCCCCATGTCCCCTTGGCACCTGCGTCATTCTCCTTTTCAGCTGACTCTGAGCCTCCCTTCTTCGTAAGCATGCTCAGATCTCTAATTTATAGCCTTGACCTTCCTTCTTGCCTCTCCTGTAAGCCACTAACCGACCTCTGTTTCTCTTTCACAGCCAAACTCCTTGAAAGAACTGATGGCCTCCACTCCCCCGCTGCCCTTTTTTTAGGGGCTGCAATCTGGCTTGCTTCACTGTGGGACTGCGGTGGCATCACAGGAGCAAGATGGAGTAGGACCAGAGACAAAGGCACTTAAGGAGATGCATTAGACCCAGTGGAAGTCAGAATGTGGCAGGGACAAGTCCTGTATTTGAGGCTTGGCTGCGTGGCTTAAGGGCACCACTCAACATATTATGGAAAAAAATGGTGCTTGAGCTCAGCTTCAAAGGTGGGCAGAATTTCTACGGGCAGAGATATAAGGAAGTGCACTGTCACCTAGGGAAATTCCACCTGCCTTGTCTGAAGATCTTCCCACAGGAGTCTTTTGGGTTAACTCATTACCTAGTTGTTGTTGTTTTTGTTTGTTGCTTGTTTTTGTCTTTCAGCATGAACTAGTTTAATAGACTAATTGGTTTGAAAAAAAAATTAAATTCAAGGTATGTATATTATGATGGGGCAAACAAAATACAAACATGACAGCTGGTTTTGAACAGTTAAAACCTGTCATATGAAAGATGTTATCTTTGTATCTGTGTTGCTCAAGAGAGCAGTACCAGAGTCACTGGGTAAAGTGAGGGAAGGCAGATTTTCAATTCAGTATAAGGAAGAAGTTCAAAGAAATAGCACGGATTGGGCTACCTTGCACTTTCCCATCACTGAAAATGGTGCTGTGGGGGCTGAATGACCCTCATGTTGCCATTTCTCACTAAATACTCATAGGTTTGTTTCTTCATGCTGGGGGAGGGAGGAAGGCAAAGCCCCTTTGCTCCTGCTGCTTGGGGGTTGAATCGCTAAGGCTTCTCTTTTAACCCCGTTTCTACTGCAAGGACTTCTCATGCCTGATACTTAAAAAACTGACTCTCCCTTCTTCCTGTTTTCTTCTACTTCCACAAGGCCTTACACTGCCCAGCACAGCAAGCACTCAGACAACTGTGGATGAAAACAACAAGTTGTGTCTCTTACCCTTTCCAGCCTGGCTAGTACCATGTAAGGCCTCCTCCCACCCTCTCCTGCTTTTCTGTTCACTCCTATCCTGTGTCCTTTGCAGGTTCATCCTCCTCTAGTTGGCCACTAAGTGTCTGGGTTCCTAAGGCTCAGCTCTCAGCTTCTTCTTACTCTGCAGTCTTTGCCTAGGGCCTCTCAACTGGACCTGTGGCTTCACCTGGACAATTTCTAATTTTTTTTTCTCATCCTGATTTCCTCTCCTTTGAGGTAGAGACCTATATATCTACCTGTTCATTTGATAGCTCCTTTTAGCTGTCTCAAAGCCACCTCCAATTCAACTGATCTAAAACATCAGGTCTGCCTCTTCTCAGCACAGGAAACCAGGCTCTCATCTCTCGTTACTGTCTTAGTGAAAGGCAGGGCCATTTATCCAGATCCATAAACCAGTAACTTAACCTCCTGCTCTTGCAACATTCACAAAGTCAATCCAATACCACAGTGGTTCTTAAACCTCTTAAAACCCTTTTACACTTTAAAAATCAAGAACAGGGGCGCCTTGGTGGCTCAGTGGGTTAAGCATCTGCCTTTGGCTCAGGTCATGATCTCAGGGTCCTGGGATCGAGCCCCACATCAGGCTCTCTGCTCAGTGGAGAATCTGCTTCCCCCTTCCCCCTTCTCTGCCTACTTGTGATCTCTCTTTCTCTCTCTCTCTGTCAAATAAATAATTTAAAAAATTAAAAAAAAATCAAGAACATTGAAGAGCTTTTATTAGTGGGTTATTCAACTAATATTCACTATATTAGAAATTAAAGCTCAGGGGCGCCTGTGTGGCTCAGTGGGTTAAAGCCTCTGACTTTGGCTCAGGTCAATGATCTCAGGGTCCTGGGATTGAGCCCCGCATCGGGCTCTCTGCTCAGCAGGAAGCCTGCTTCCCCCTCTCTCTCTGCCTGCCTCTCTGCCTACTTGTGATCTCTGTCTGTCAAATAAATAAATAAAATCTTAAAAAAAAAAAAAAAGAAATTAAAGCTCAAACATTTTGGAAAACACACTAATACACAAGCACACATTCCATTAGCCCTCAGAGCAATGACATCACCTCAGTCGGGTGACCTATGGAAAACTCCACTCACACTCATGAGAGAATGGAGTAAAAAGGCAAATCATAGACTTCCTGAAATGATCTCAGGGACCGCCCCCACCCCAAGTTCCCAGACCACACTTTGAGAACCAAGCAACACCATGTTCTGTTGGCTTTACCTTCTAAATGTCTCAAATCCATCTGTGCCTTCCTCTCTCCACTGCTGTCACTAGCCTAATCCAAACTTCTGTCTTCTTCACCCGGACCAAACTACATTAGCTTAACGTGGTTTCCCCTTTGGTCTGTTCTGGCTCCCCTGCAATCTGTTCTCCACACTGTATCTAGAGTAATCTTTTCAAGACACAAATCCGTATGTCATACCACCTATTCCTGTTCACTTTAAAAACCAGAGAGTGGATTTTTACTGCTTTCAACATTAAGGACCAAAATCTTCATCATGGACCACAAGCTTCTGCCTCCCTCCCCAGCCTCAGTCCATTCCTCTGCCTCATTGTTCTTGGGGCCTCCACATGTGTAGCTCTCCCTGCCTGGCACTCTCTTCCCTACTTCCCCTTTGCATCATTCACACTCCGGATCATAGGCTAAGGCCTTCCTGGCCCCAAAATTAGGATACATGCTCCTGGCACCATACTCCTTTCAGTCACAGCCTATAAATTACACAACAGTCTCATCATGACAAGTGTTTGTCTTCCCATGCAGCTATAAGAGCCACAGGGGCAGGAGCCAGGTCTTTTTTGCTTCCCATGTTTCCTGCACACAGCTGATACTTGGCCAATTAAATCCTAAGTGAATAAACGAATAAACAAAAATGGAGTTTGAGAGGGAGAGAAAAGAGAGTAAGATAATATGATGAGCACTGTAACAGAGATGGGCGTAAGGGACCAACATTTGGTCCCTTGGTTAATGGCTTCCCACAGCCTACCAAACAAGCCCAAGGGCAGTCCAGGCTCCTTAGGGGTGGCCCACGGATCCCTTCTCAGCTTCTTTATTCTCCTTTAAATCAGCCAGGCTGAAGGCCAAGTGAAATCTCCACAGACAGCTGAAAAGCGTTCCCCCTTCATCCTTGTCTACTGAAATCCCCTACCATCTCTAAAGATCCAGTTCAAATAGCTCTTCCACAGAATGCCTGTCCCTAGTCATTCCAGTTAGAAATAACCTAGGCCATTTCTCGGCTCTATGGAAAGGCTGGCAGTTTCCTCCCACTTCTTCCCTCACATCCTCCATACTCCATGCCAGTCATGGTTCTCCCAACCCACCACCTTCTTTTGTGATAGTGTCTGGCAGGTGCCCCGTCCTGTGCCAGGAATATCTGTGCCGGTCCTGTGCCAGTAAATCTTTCCTTCGTGTGGCAGCTCTGATATTTTCTTTTTTTTTTTAAGATTTTATTTATTCATCGGAGACAGAGACAGAGATGGAGAACTAGAGCACAAGCAGGGGGAGAGGCAGAGGGAGGGGGAAACGCAGACCCTCCACTGAACTGGGAGCCCGACCTGCGGCTCAATCCCAGGACCTGGAGATCATGACCTGAGCCGAAGTTCAGATACTTAACCATCTGAGCCACCCAGGCGCCCCTGATGTTTCCTCTTCTGTGGAAGCGCTTCTCCATAGTCCTGGGCTGAGTTGGTTATGCCTCCTCCCACCCCACCCTGTAGCCTCCATCATACATGCCTCCACTGTAGCCCTTACCCTAGCTCAAGGGCTGGTACACACTGCTTACTGAACGACGGAACCCTGGATCTACGTGTGCCAGGAGGCTACGGAGGCCGTTCTCTAGATACACAGGAATTACTTCATAGAAATCCTATTCCTCAGCATTCTCAGACAAGGAAATTCCACATATGGCTCCTCACAACAATGGCCCAGCATTTGGCTCTTGCCTCTACACACAAATCACAGGCTCTTGCTCAGAAGCAGGCCCAATCACCGCCCCATGTCAACCCTCATTGCTTACTGTACAAAGGAACAATGCTGCCTTCCTCCAGCCCCTCAATCTCTCCGAGGGCTCTGGAACAGAGGCCAAGCTGGCAGAGTTTCCTAGGCTTCAGGGCACCTGGATTCCAGAGCCAGAGATGTTCCAGATAGGGCCTCCTTGCTGGGGGGTTGGCTCTCTCTCTCCTCTACCAGCTTATTGAAAACATAGCCACCAATTATCCACAATGTTAGAGAAATATGAAACTCATACACAGATCTTCAGCTTGGCAACACTTAATACCATGTTTGCTCAAGTTCCAAAAATCACTCAGCAAGGCAAAGTCAGTGCCTCAGTAACACATTCTTCCTGCTACCCTCTCAGAAGGCTTCTCACTCACAGACAGGCTCAGCGTGATGTTCCGAACTCCCCAAGCTCAGCTCAAGATCTTCGGAGAGCAGTTCCGTTCGATGCAACTCTACCTGTGTGGACAGAACTTGTCTTCCTAGCAGCAGCGGGGGTCTCAGCCACATTAGGGCAGTAGGTTCAACACAAATGTTTGATAAGGCCAGGTTTGCCTCTTGATACAAATTCCACAATTCAGGACATGGGCTTTCTCCTCAGACTCTGGAAAATGGGATCCAGAGCGATACTAGGTTATCCGGTGTAATGCACAGGACTGACATGGATTTCTTTCCTGTGGAGGCCTGGGGGCAGCTACATAGTTTTCTTCCAGTTAGCCAATCCTATATACTATGTCAACAGTCTCCCGTCCTTCCCAGACAACCTGGTTTAATTCTCCAAGAGTTTAATTGATCAACATCTTCGCCAAAGCATAAGGACTTCTTGGGAATCAGAAGCAAGAGGTCTGAGGTCAACACTCAAAGTTGGGCCTTATTCCTAACCTCAGGTCTCCAGTTCTTTGATGAGACAATGGTCACAAATGAGAGTGGGCTGTTCGTTGCCAGAGGTCTTCAGCAGATCTTTGAGGGAATCACTTTTTCAGACATGTTTAAAAAGGAACTTGGTCGTGCCATCACCTTGTTACACTGTAAGCTCTCTAAGCGTCAGGACACCATCCCAGCCACTTCTCTACCCCTTCCCCCCCTCCCCAATAAAGGCCTAGAGGATGATTTTACATGGAGTAATAGTCTATTAATGTTTGATGGTGGTTTTTTAAATTAATAAATACTTGATTTTTAAAAAGCATGGGCAGATAAATTAGATGAAAAGGAAAAAAGCGGTGAAATACTCACTGACAGAGAGGTGCCTGCTTCTGGGCTCGGGGGGCTGGTAGATGGTATTGACATCTCCTGCAGACTGGGAAGCTTTGATCCGCACCTGCCTGGACACCCCAGAATGGGGAGAGGGACTGGTCTGTAAGATAAGAGGAAAAAGGCTGAACCATCTTTAGGCAGACAGGCCAAGAAAGGCCTGCTTGCCCTTCCCTAGGACTCCTCGTGCTCTTAGTTGCCTTCCCACTTTTTTAAAAAAATATTCATCTATTTGAGAGAGAGAGAAAGAGAACACAAGCAGGGAGGAAGGGCAGAGGGAGAGGGAGAAGTAGACACCCCCTGACCCTGCTGAGCAGAGAACCCAATGCAGGGCTTCCTCCCAGGTCCCCGGGATCATGGCCTGAGCCAAAGGCAGAGGCTTAGCTGACTGAGCCACCCAGGTGCCCCTGCCATCACACTTTCAATAGACGAGGTATCTAGCCTCCCCCCAAATCTCACTCCTCAATCAGTCTTGGCAAACCACTATTTCCTCATTGTAGTTTTTTTTTTTAATTTTATTTATTCATCTGACAGAGATCACAAGTAGGCAGAGAGGCAGGCAGAGAGAGAGACAGGAGGAAGCAGGCTCCCTGCTGAGCAGGGAGCCCAATGCGGGGCTCGATTGTGGGACCCTGGGATCATGACCCGAGCCAACGGCAGAGGCTTTAACCCACTGAGCCACCCAGGCGCCCCTCCTCATTGTAGTTTTATAGCTTCAGTGATATCTGAGCACTGAGACCCACTGCCCCAGTTTAAGAGGTGATGACCCAGGCATGGAAGAATAACAGGTTTTCCTATAATAATATGTCAAACAGAAAAGCGAGTTGTAAATACCCTCTCATAAAATCTCCAGAGAGAGAGCTTGGGAAAAAATAGCAGGAAATTATTTCAGCAGCGAGATCACCTGCCGAGTTGGAGGGTGGTCAGAATAGAGAATGACCACAACCTCCCTGCCCAACAGAATTCTGGCTGGTAAACATGCATTTCTAAAAGTAGCTTGATGTGCTGCTTCTCCCCAACCACAATCACTCCCTCCAAATCACAGCAAAATCTCAGCTGCTTAGTATCACCAGGGTTTCCATGAGAAACCACCTCAGGCTTGTGTTCATCTGGGAAAGGCTATCACAGGTGCCATTTTTGCCAGAGGTCAAGGACCCCAGAATAGGGTCAGCAACCTCACCACATGCACCCTCACTTCTGCACTGTTCTAGTGAAACCATCAAGTGAGCCCTAGGGAAAAAAAAAAAAAAACACCAAAGCAACGCAAGGGGCCCTCACAATGAGAAAGCGGAAAACCGAAGGTGGGCAGTGAGTGAGCAAGTGATGTGGGGGTGCGATTACAAGCACGTGGAGCACTGCCGAGAGTGGGAATGGGGGTCAGGAGTGCTAAATAACTTGAGGCAAAGTTTCGACCCGCTTCTCGAGCTCTTCTACCTCACATAAGAAAAAAAAAAAAAAGTCCAACCTAAACAAACTATATCCTGTCCTCCAGGAAAAAGGCTTCCCGCTCTCAGGGGTGAATTCAGCTGCCAAGCAGCCTCCTCTGGTCTCTCCACGCCAGACTTTATCACATGCAAGGCTGTCTTTACAAACTGTCTTGCTCTAACGGGAAGTCAGAACCAAGGGGAAGTGGAATGTTCTTGCTGAAGCCTCCGATGTGCAATAGCTTTCTGCTGAGAGTCAGAAAGGAAAAAACAGTCAAAGCCACACACTGGGGAAGCAGGCCGGTAAAGGGCAAGGAAAGGCCACAGCCCCGCAGTCGGAAAGAGAAGAGCCCCGTGATGAGCCCCCTGAGGACACCTGCCTGCACACAGGGCCTTGCACGGAGTGAGAATTCCATAAACCGCAGCGACGTGAATTTGAAATGCACCGAAGAACATACACTCTAAACTCAATTTTAAACTCTAAGAGAGGAGACAGGAAAGTAGGTTCCGCAGTCAGCACAAGCATCAGTTTTTAGAAGAAAAGGCTGAAGTTATAGCAACAGGCTGGAAAACAGATGAAGGGAATCAGTGGAGGCTTCAAAGCAGGGATTCTTTTTTTTTTTTTTTTTAATTTTACTTATTTATTTATTTATTTATTTGACAGAAGAGAGAGAGATCACAATTGGGCAGAGAGGCAAGGAAAGAGGTTGGTGGGGGTGGGTGGGGAAGCAGGATCCCCGTTGAGCAGAGAGACAATGCGCGCCTGGATCCCAGGACCCTGAGATCATGACCCGAACTGAAGACAGAGACTTAACCCACTGAGCCTCCCAGGCGCCCGAAGGCAGGGATTCTTACCCCTTAATGTGCACAAATCACCTAGGGCCTTGTTAAAACACAGGTTCTGACTCTGTAGGTCTGGGATGGGGTAAAAAATCTGTTTTTTGTTTTTTTCAGATTTTATTTATTTATTTGACAGTGGGAGAGAGAGCAAGGGAAAGTACAAGCAAGGGGAGCAGCAAAGGGAGAGGGAGAAGCAGACTCTCCACTGAGTAGGGAGCCCGATACAGGGCTCAATCCCAGGACCCCAGGATCATGGCTTAAGGGGAAGGCAGACGCTTAACCGACTGAGCCACCCAGGCACCCCTAAGATTTTAATTTTAAGGTCATCTCTACACCCAATGTGGGATTTGCACTTAACAACCCCAAGACCAAGAGTCACATGCTCTACCTGACTGAGCGTACCAGCCAGATGCCCTGAGCATCTGCATTTTTTTTTAAAGATTTTTATTTATTTACTTGACAAAGAGAAAGAGATCACAAGTAGTCAGATCACACGTAGGCAGGCAGCGGGGAGGGGGAAGCAGGCTCCCTGCTGAGCAGAGAGCCCTATGCGAGGCTCGTTCCCAGGACCCTGAGATCATGACCTGAGCTGAAGGCAGAGGCTTTAACCCACTGAGCCACCCAGGCGCCCCAAGAATCTGCATTTCTAACAAGCTTCCAGGTATGCTGACGCTGCTGGTCCATGGACCATACTTTGAGCAGCAAGGTCTTAGGAGGAGAGTCATACTTCAATTAAAGGTCTTGGGTCTCGACCCTAGCCACCCACTAGAGCTGCCTATGGGGCTTCAGACACCTCACACCACCTACAACAGAATTTCTGGGGATGGTGCCCAAGGACTGGTGTTTTTTAAATCTCCTCAAGTATTTGTAATATTCAGTCAAGTCTGAAAACCCTGATTTAAGGGGATAAAAGAGAACTGCATGGTAAACAAAAATGAGGTTCATGCAAGGATTCAGGGAACTTTGAGCACAACTCAGAAGTGGAAAAGAGAGAGGATGCCTGGGTGGTGTAGTTGGTTAAGCATCTCTGCCTTCAGCTCAGGTCATGATCCCTGGGTCCTGGGATCGAGTCCTGCATCGGGCTCCTTGCTTGGTGGGGTCTGCTTCTCCCTCTGCCTGCCGCTGTCCCTGCTTGTTTTCTCTCTCTCTCTTTCTCTCTCGTTCTCTCTGGCAAATAAATAAGTAAAATCTTAAAAAAAAAAAAAAAAAAGAAGTGGGAAAGAGGAAGGAGGGGCTAGGAAAAACAAAAGGGGACTGTAGTGGAGTGAAAGGAGAGCCCACAAGTATAAAGCGTGGCCAACAGAATGTTGTAATCATAGCAAACAGAAGGTGGCATTTGACTACTCAGTGTAAACCTCACCAAAGGACTCTGTAGGTAGCAGTGTGTATAGCTGACACAAACGACATGAGAAATTACCAGGGAACCACATCCATAAAGACTGCAGTGACTGGAAACTAGGAGATCAGCAGAAAAAGTGGTCACAAGAGTAGGCTCACAGATTATCTTGATAAAAGATTTGGTGGTAGAGACAAAATGAACAAGTGGATTCAACTCTGCAGGGGGTAAAGGGGTGTGTGTGTGTGTGTGTGTGTGTGTGTGTGTGTGTGCGCGCGCGCGCGCGCGCATGTGTTTCTGTGTGTTTGTTTCAGTTTGGTTCATAGGAACACAAGGTAAGAAATGGCCCCCGGGATCTCTCCAGTCCTCTGCTTCAAGGGTGGCACCAAGAGACTTTGCACAGAAGACTACAATAGTTACAACAGTTGTATTTTCTTCTAAGATAACCCCCAATATCTTTTTTTAAGATTTTATTTATTTATTTATTAATAAATATTTTTTTTATTTGACAGAGACAGACACAGTGAGAGAGGGAACACAACCAGGAAGAGTGGGAGAGGGAGAAGCAGGCTTCCCACCAAGCCGGCAACCTGATTCGGGGCTCGATCCCAGGATACTGGTATCATGACCTGAGCTGAAGGCAGACACTTAATGACTGAGCCACCCAGGCACCCTGATAACACCCAGTATTTAAAGGGTTCATCCAGGGGTGCCTGGGTGGCTCAGTGGTTTGAGGCCTCTGCCTTCGGCTCAGGTCACGATCCCAGGGTCCTGGGATTGAGCCCCACATCAGGCTCTCTGCTCAGCAAGGAGCCTGCTTCCCTCTCTCTCTCTCTCTGCCTGCCTCTCTGCCTGCTTGTGAACTCTGTCAAATAAATAAATAAAATCTTAAAAAAAAAAAAAATAAAGGGTTCATCCAAATTGAGGTAAGGGGACTAAATCTGTGTTTTCATTATCTGCACTCTCCAGTGCTTCCTAGACTTTGACTGCTTATATATGATTAGGGTGACTTTCTGCACTAAAGGCGACCACATATAATCCCTTGAAAACGCTGTCTTCCCTTGGACCTTCTTCCAGCTTGGTTACCCTCTGAGCTGTGGGAAAGAGAATGACACAACATCTCATGACTTCTCCCCATGGGCAACATTATACTTTCTGTTCTGCTTCTGATAAACTATGGAGGAACCTGGGGGAGGTCTTCCAAGGGTTACAAGAACTCTAAGACCCCTTTCCGGGATGGTAACTGATAGGTACTGAACTATAAGTCAGAAGATCTGGATTCTAGACCAGCTCTGTCACCACTGGCTGCTTCACCATGGGCAAGTGACCCTAAGTCTTGGTTTCCCCAGGTATAGACTAGTGAGTACATATGCTTGCCATGGACCTCTAAAAGTTGCAAGAGTCAAATGACAGACAAAAGCACTTATACATGTAAGGTGTTAGGTTTAAACAGGGGCCAGACTGAAGCTATTGTACTCAACAACTTTGGTCCTATTTTCCTGCACTTGCCCCTTACTTTAATAAGACTGAAAAGAATTACTATTTAGATTATCCTTGATATTTTGAACTTAAATAGTAGACAAGATAGCATCAAACTCATTGTTGGGATATTTGGGAAGTGGGCAACATCTGGATGAGAAGATCAGAAGTTTACTTTTGTCAGGGAGAATCTAAGATAACAAAACAAAATGCCATCATCAGTTTAAGGTAGCTGGGACAGATAGAAGTGACAAAAGAATGTAAGCTTGAGATTATTTTAAGATAGTAGAAAATCTGAGTCTAGGAAGTTATAAGGTCAAGAGTGAAAAGTTAAACATAAACATGGTTAGAGAAGAAGTCTGTAATTGGAATAAATTAAGAGTTAATGGTCCAGGAGTGCCTGGGTGGCTCAGTGGGTTAAGCCTCTATCTTTGGCTCAGGTCATGATCTCGGGGTCCTGGAATTGAGCCCTGCATCGGGCTCTCTGCTCAGCAGAGAGCCTGCTTCCCCCTCTCTCTCTGCCTGCCTCTCTGCCTACTTGTGATCTCTCTCTCTCTGTCAAATAAATAAATAAAATCTTAGAAAAAAAAAAGAGTTAGTGGTCCAGGGCACAGGCCTAAGGCAGCAAGAACTACTGAAGGAGACGATGAAGTATTTTAAAATGGCAGGAGAAAGCAAGGCTAGAGAGGGGCTCTTCAGACTAAAGGGAGGCTCTGTGATGACCAGATTCCAGGAGTTCTCAGGTAAGAACAATACAATACTGAAGCCTGCAACATGGCCTTGGCCAGGTGAGGTAGGAGAGGTAAATACAAAGGGAAGATTAGAAGTTGTCTTGGAAGGATCAGTAGAAAAGGAATTCAGAAAGAAAAACTGCACATTTAAAGACAGGAATAAGAAGGGAAGTGAAGGTGTAAGTGGTAACAAAAGGTGGATGAGGCAACAGATTGCTAAAAATGGAAGAAACTCAGTAGAGAAACTAAGTGACTGTCAGTTAGTAGCTGGAGGTAAAGCAGGGCGCTGTGGTGTCCTGGAGCAGGGCGCTCAAGCGTGCTCTGTGTGGCTGGGACCCGGAGACAGCAGATGGTGTAATAATCCTCAACAAGGTAATACAGAAACGGAAAATAACTCTTTACAAACTTTTACAGCAATTTAGCAGAATGACTTTCTGCCTACCAGCTCTAGCAATAAGAACTAGTGTCTTGTACTGTGTATGTCCCTCATTTATTTTTCCATTTCATTTTCCAGTTTTTGTGTTTTAAAAAGAATTGGTCCATAGAATAAAACTAGCATTTCATCACAGAGGGTCAGAGAAGCACTGTTCTCAAGGTGGGACTCCTGAGCACATAGCAAGTCCAGTTCATGACACTTGTGTTTATTAAGCCTGAAATGGGGCGCCTGGGTGGCTCAGTCAGTTAAGTGTACCTGAGGTCATGATCTCAGGGTCCTGGGATTGAGCCCCACGTGAGGCTCCCTGCTCAGTGGGGAGTCTGCTTCTTCCTCAGCCCCCTCCATATTCTCCCCCCAACAAATAAATAAATAAATAAAATTTTTTAAAGATTTTTTAAAAAATGTATTTATTTGACGAGAGAGAGAGATCACAAGTAGGCAGAGAGAGAGAGGGCTCCCTGCTGAGCAGACAGCCCGATGCGGGGCTCGATCCCAGGACCCTGAGACCATGACCTGAGCCGAAGGCAGAGGTTTTAACCCACTGAGCCACCCAGGCGCCCCTAAATAAAATCTTTTTATTAAAAAGAACCCTGAAGTATAGCTGAGGAAGTTCCCAAGAAAAGATCTCATCACCAACCATTACCACTACTAGTCTAAAATGTAAATCTTTACAAATGCAAAAAGTTGGAGCAGGTTAAGTGACCTGACAGTAACAAAAATGGTTATTTAATTAAATTACGGTATATCAACTCAAGGGATTTATGCATCTTTATAAATTATAATTATGAAGATTACAAATTATCTTAGAAAAATGTGCATGACAATGTTAAGTGAAAAAATTAATTAGAAAATTGTATGACCACATGACATTTTTTTTTTTCTTTTTCACATGACAACATTTAAAGTATGTATACATATGGCCCAAACTGCAGGGGCACATGTAAATATCAATAAATGTGTTACAGTGATAGGTTTACATAGGATAATTCTCTTTTTTTAAAGATTTATTTATTTAATTGAGAGAGTGTGTAAGCGGTGAGGAGGGGGAGAGGGGGAGGGAGACAGAATCCCAAGCAGACTCCCCAAGGAGTGTGGAGCCCCAAGCAGGGCTTAATCTCACAACCCTGAGATCACGCCTGAGCCAAAACCAAGAGTCAAATGCTTAAGAGATTGCGCCACCCAGACACCCCAGTAATTGTCTTTTTCAACTTTATAAAAGGTTATACTGACATTAATTTTTAAAAATATAAGTCCTTAGAAAAGAGGCATCAATGTGGCATTTATTTTATGCGCCATCTAATGCAATGTCATAGGCATCAGAGCTCGGTGGTCATCTTTCAAACAGCCTGGGTGTTGCAGCAGTATCTGCAGCCATGTGCACCCCTTAAAGGATGAGAAAGTGGATGTAAAGAACCACTTGTCTATACCTTCTCATCAAGGGAATGAAGGGATCATAATCAAGGGTGCTAGCTCCCAATCAAGCAATTACTCCATTAAACCAAACCGCGATTCTAGCTTCTTCTGTATAGAAAGGGTTTGCTGAATATGATCTCCGCTTGACTTCTGCCGAATAATCAAGACGCATTCACTGTGTTTTCTTAAGAAGATGGGTGGGGTAGGGTCCCAAAACAAGTAGTCACGGCTCCTGCTCTTGAGGAGCTTAATAATCTTTTGGGGTAAAACTTATAAATATACAACAACTAGAGGGCAATTACCAAGCAACCTATAAACTAGTGGGCACATTTTATCCAATGACTAAAGGAACAGGGAATAATCAAGATGGCCTCAGTGAAAAACAATGACAACACTGTAGCAGGTAAATCAAGCTAGATCCTGAAAACAAGGTGACAGCCATGGCAAAGAGGCATAAGGAAAAACTGCAGAATGGGGGAGTGTGCTGAACAATGTGGAAAGACCAAACTGGGGAGCTGGAAAGCAGGGTAGTTGGTGATACACCCTGGATGTTAGGCTACATTTAGATCCTCTACAGTAGGCAATAAAGAAAGACTATAAGGAGTAAGTGAGTAACTTGAACAGAGAAATAAAATAATAAAGTATATATTTTATTTCAGAATACTTCCCAAAACATATCCAGAAAAGAGATACATCTGGGACAGAGGAGAACAATCCTCAGTCACAAGGACATTTTCGTAATATTAGAAAAAGTCTTCTTTATTCTAAGGCCCCCAACTGCATTCTCCTGTGCCTCCCTTTCATCATTAGGACAGCCCGATCCCAATATGTTTCCTTAAAAATAAAAGGTCAGAGGGCGCCTGGGTGGCTCGTTGGTTAACCATCTGCCTTCAGCTCAGGTCATGCTCTGAGTCCTGGGATAGAGCCTGGTGTCGGGGGTCCCTGCTCAGTGGGGAATCTGCTTCTCCCTCTCTATCTGTTTCTACCCCCTGCTTGTGCTCTCTCTTCTCTCAAATAATAATAATAATAATGGAATAAATCTTTAAATAAATAAATAGATGGTCAGCATGAGCACCATTCCATCTAAACTCTGTCCTACTGTGGTGCGTTCACTGTCCTCATGCAGCAATGTCAGCTGTCCATAGTTGGCTGTTTTCAAGTATAAGGAAAGGAAAGAGTGCCAAGAAACCTTTAGGAACATGCATCTCAAGAAAACGGGTATAGAAATTGGTGGTTAGAAGACAGATCCTGGGGGCACCTGGTGGCTCAGTCGCTTAAGAGTTTGCCTTCAGCTCAGGTCATAATCTCAGGGTCCTGGGACTGAGCTCCACGTGGGGCTCCCTGCTCGGTGGGGAGTCTGCTTCTCCCCTCTCTCTGTCTCTGCCCCTCACTCGTGCTTATGATTGCTCTCAAAAAAAAAGAAAAAAGACAGACTCAGACTGCAATCACTTGTAAAATGTAGGCCTTCAGAGACCTTTTAGGAGAAGAAGCTACATAAGGGATAATTTCCCACTTCTGCCGGCCCCTGCAGACTGCCTGCCGTTTGGTAAGGCAGCAACTGATAAACTACAAGAGGCCCTCCATCCCATGGCCTCTTTTCCATTGAACAGAAAGAAAAGTTTGTTTCCTACATGTGTCACAAGCCACAGGCACGGTTGCTGAGGAGCTGCTGAAAGATTTACATGACGGCGTCGAATCCTTGGCAGTCTTTGCTAATCAGCATCTCCACCCTAATCAAAACTCTCTTGTTGGAGTCCAAGTTAAATTGAAATAACATAAGTACAGAGCAAAAGAACTTTCTCTTTTATCATATATGCTTCCCTTCTTCCCATACCACAAGCCAAGTAACCCTTAGCTGCAACTTTAACATAGATTTGACTTTGCAGTGAAATCACATGCAAAATGCTATCTGGCCAATGACACGGTGGGCTGAGCTGCACTTAAGTGCTTGCTTCATTTTTTTAATTTTTAATTTTTTTTTTTTAAGAGAGAAGTGGGGGTGCAGAGAAGAGAGAGAATCCCAAGCAGACACCCTGAGCATGGAGCCTGTTGTCCCAGTGCCCCAAGATCATGACCTGAACTGAAATTAAGAGTCTGATGCCCAACTGACTGAGCCACCCAGGCGCAACCCCCTCCCTTGTGTGCTTGCTTTAATAGCAGCTGAGAAGCACAAAATTCTGTCCAGGCAGCCAGGTAAACCCCTGAAGGAGAGCAAGTTCTGTTTTCAGCTGCCAGGCCATCATAGGCGCTACTTACATGATTTCTGTCCTGGGACAGCAGCAATATCCTAAGGCTTTTCATGCTTGAGCTTCTGTCTAATATGTCAATTGCTTTATCAAGATCATCTTGGTTCTTCAGCAGGATGGAGAGCTGTGACACAGGACACAGAAAAACAATCATATAAAAGAAAAGTTGTTAGTTTCTAAAAAATAAGCAAAATACACAAGAAAAAAGTAAGATTGAAGGAAAACAATCCCATTGGATACTAGGGGGTCTTAAAACTAATTGAAACCATCTAGATATTTCCTTTTTCTTTTCCTTAAGTGTACAATTCAATAATTTTTAATAAATTTACAGAGCTGTACAACCATCACCATAATTCCATTTTAAAACATTCCCAGTTTTCCAAAAAGATCTTGTGCCCATTTGTAGTCATTCCCTCTTCCCACCTGTAGACCCTTAGGCAACCACTAATGTACTTTCTGTCTCTATAAATTTGCCTCTTTTGGGGGCACCTGGGTGGCTCAGTAGATTAAGTGCCTGCCTTGGGCTCAGGTCATGATCACAGGCTCTTGGGATTGAACCCCACATTGGGCTCCCTGCTCTCCCCCTCCCCACCGCTCATGCTCACTATCTCTTGTCTCTCTCTCTCTCTCTCCCTCTCTCTGTCTCAAATAAATAAATAAAATCTTTATTTTTTAATAATATTTTATCCATTCATTTGACAGAGAGAGAGATCACAAGTAGGCAGAGCAGCAGGCAGAGAGTGGGGGGGAAGCAGGCTCCCCGCTGAGCAGAGAGCCCAATGCAGGGCTCGATCCCAGGACTCCAAGATCATGACCTGAACCAAAGGCAGACGCTTAAACCCAATGAGCCACCTAGGCGCCCCTATTTTTAAATTATTGTTTAAAGAATTTATTTCTTTAAAATAAAAGAAGTAGGCTTTAAAAAAATAATAAAATAGAATAAAGGAAGGAGGCTTTAGCTTAAACAAACTACAATTTTTTAAACATATGGTATGGGTCTAGATATCCAGAATATACAAAGAACTCCTACAACTCAACAGTATGAGGACAAATAATCCAATTCTTTCAATGGGCAAAGGATGTGAACAGACATTACCCAAAGACTATAGACAAATGGCTAATAAGCCCTAAAAAGATGCTCTATGTCATAGGCATTAGGGAAATGCAAATTAGCTGGCTTACTCTAGCCTCACTTTTTTTTTTTTTAAGGTTTTTAAAAATTTATTTATTTGACAGACAGAGATCACAGGTAGGCAGAGAGGCAGGCAGAGGCAGAGAGAGAAGGGGAAGCAGGCTCCCCTCCGAGCAGAGAGCCCGAAGAGGGGCTCGATCTCAGGACCCCGGGACCACGACCCGAGCCGTAGGCAGAGGCTTTAACCCACTGAGCCACCCAGGCACCCCTAGCCTCACTTTCTTAGTAACTGAAGCTTGAGGTGCAATTTTTTAAAGTTCTATGCATTTGACATTTATATCTTTTGGGTTCTCTTATCTTGATTTTTTTGGTGTGTTTTTTTGTTTGTTTGTTTGTTTTTTTTGAGAGAGAGGGAGCAAGCATGTGCTATTGGGGGGATGGGGGAAGAGAGGGAGAGCAAGAATCTTAAGCAGGCTCCACACCCAGAGTGGAGACTGATGCAGGGCTCGATCTTACAACCCTGAGATCATGACCTGAGCCAAAATCAAGAGTCAAACACTTAACCCACTGAGCCACCCAGGCTCCCCTCATCTCCTGTCTTTCAAATGTTTTAGTTTACATACTTTAAAATACTTAGATCTGCATTACTTATTAACTATAGAGTTAGTGGTTTATTTTCCAAATTTGTTGGATTTCTAAAATTCGTCCAAAACACAAAAGACCAGATGGTCTTGTTTTTGTTAGCTATTTAGCAATATATCCAATTGTAATTATACATTTTGTATAAAGGGGACCAGGGAGTTTTTAGCCAACAAATCACAGCTTCTATAGATTTCAGCCCCCAAACTATGGAAGAAATGCCTTTTTTAATTCCCCTCGAGCTGAAGGGTTTGTTTGTTTTATTAAATATAGTTGACATGTGTCACATTAGTTTTAGGCATATAACACAGTGATTCAACAAGTCCATACCTTATGCTAGGCTGACCATAAGTGTAGCCCCCATCTGTTGCCATACCACTTGACTATATTCCTTATGCTGTACCTTTTATCCCCACGACTTATTCATTCCATAATTGGAAGCTTGTATCTCCCACTTCCTTTCACCCATTCTGCCCATCCCCCACCCCTCTGCTAATCATTAGTTTGTTCTCTGTATTTATGGGTCGGTTTCTGCTTTTTGTTTATTTATTCTCTTGTTTTCTGTTTTAAATTCTACATACAATTGAAATCAAATGGTGTTTGTGTTTCTCTGTCTGACTTATTTCACTTAACAGAGTACCCTCTAGGTCTATTTATGTTGTTGCACATTTTTTTACAGCTGAGTAATATTCCACTGTATATATACACCACAGCTTCTTTATCCATTCATCTATTAATGAATTAATTGATTAACTGGGTTGCTTTATGGAGGTGATTCTTAACTCTTCAACCAATAAAACAAAACTACACAGTAAGGACCAGTTTCTCAAAGAGCCAGGATGTTGCCTGGGTTTCCTGTCTTGCCCTCCAACTCAGTTCCCTCAAGATGCACACTCTTTACTAGGCATCAACACACTGCCTCTCACACTAATGCAAAGCACCAGCCCAAGCAGACTGTAGCCTCTCGTACCTTTCCTGGAGCTGGGAAAGCAGCCAAGCAATTGACATTCAAAAGAATTCCATCCTGGGTGATATTCAAAGTATGAAAAAATAAGGACTAGAGGGGTGGAGGACAGGATAAGGAAGAGTTAAAGAAATCACTTAGGCAGGTGCTAACTTTGGAAACAAGCTACAGTTGGTAGTTAAACTCTGAGAGAAGAATCCAGCATTTATGACCGTCAATAAAGGAACTACCCACCAGTTTTCCACACCTCTCCAGCCCCTCCTAAACCTCTGCTTCTTGTTAAGGCTGTGCTAGAAAGAAAAAGATAAGCTATAAAACACGATAAGGACACGATATAAGCCCTGGTCCTGGTACCATAGCTGATGCCACTGGGGAGTATTAGAGCTACTGGCACTGAATGAGCAGGAGAATGGAAACAGCTATGTCATCTCCCATGTAGTAAAAACCACAATCCCAGAATGACTGGAATTAAGAAAAGAGGCTCCAGAAAATGAAAACCTGCAGATGACACTAGAGAACAAACTAAAAAGATCCTCAGTGAAGCAGGAAGAAAAACGTAGTCAGCTGTCACCCTTCCTTGTTCCCACACCATCCATCTAGTCTCTTACCTCATTGTTCATGTAATGCAGATCAAGAGGCTGCCCGAACACTGTTGTCACCTTGTGTTCCACATCTTCGTATCTCACAGGCCGGCTGAACGGTATAATTCTGAAGAGAAATAGGAAGCGTGGTTAATTGTATATTTTTAAAAGTCAGATATGGAAAGCTAGGACTCGTGAGTGATATCTTCCTGTTCTTTTAAACACAGAATTCTCTTTTTCTCCTTCACACAGCTTGCCTTTCTGTTTCTTTTCTTCTCCTAACCATCTTATTTTTTTCACCCTTCTGAGCATCACAAGCACTGTTCAATCCCAATCGTTATGCTTTCACTTCAGCTCAGATCTGTCAATGACAGATCAGTATCAAAGCAGGACACCCGGATTTAAAAACAAGGTCCCAAATACTCCTGTTAGGAAGAAAACCTGGAGATTGGAGCAGTGTTCCTGAAAACATGATCTTAACTCCTAAATGACTCAACTCCAGGACTTGAAAGGTCTTTTCCATTGCTGATGCCAGAGGAATCTCAATGCTAATTATCCTTGGAATTGAGATTTCCTACCTCAGAGTCAAAGGAATTACCTTTGATTTGGTTATATGCCCAAGTTTTCTTAACTAGTGACACATATGATCATATAAGTAGTGTTGATACTGACACTTTTCTAGAGAGACTCATTAGGTCAGTTCAAAGAACTATTTCTATAAATAGAGAGTAGAGCAAGAACTTGTTCAAAGAGGTGTTAAAATGATTTGTCAATTAAACATCACAGCAAAATGTAAAAGTGGGGATGGATGATATATACAAAATGAATAAAACACAGAAGAATGAAATAAACAAAAAATTGGCAAAATGTTGATAATGTTGAAGCTGCATTACAAGTTAGAAGGATTTAGTGTGATATTCTCCCTACTTTTGTGTGTATTTGAAATTTTCAGCATAAAAAGTTTTAATGAATATGTTAGGTTGAACTACATGATATGGCTGGTAGTTAACAATTTTTGATAAAACAGTGGCAATTTCATACAGTTCCAACCCAATACTTTAAAACTTAAATCCTTAAGACAAAAATAAGCAAAGAAATAAATGAAACAAGAGAGTATTAGAAAGAAACTCATATATATATATTCCATATATACAGAAGAAAGTATAGGATTAAAAAAACATTGGAGTGGGGAAGGTTTTCCTAAGCATTACATAAAATACAGAAGACAAGAAGACAGATTTGACAACAAAAATTTGAAGATTTATTTATTTATTTGAGAGAGAGAGAGAGAGAGAGAGAGCATGCACATGCCAGCAGGGAGAGAGGCAGAGGGAGAGGAAGAAAGTCCTCAAGCAGATTCCCCACTGAGCACAGAGCCCGACACAGGGCTCCATTCCAACATCCTGAGATCACGACCTGAGTCAAGATTAAGAGTGGGACACTCAACAGACTGAGCCACCCAGGTGTCCCTGACAAGAAAACTTTAAACTTCTGATAGCAAAATGAGCCATCAACAAAGTTGAAAAACAAATATCAAGTTTGGGGGAAAAGAAATCCTTGCAAAATCAGTAAGATAAAAATAAACAACCCAATAGAAACATGGGCAAAGGACATGCTGACAAAATTCAAAGAATTATGAATGGCTAGTAAACACGTGAAGTTATGTTTAATATGATGGGGGAAATGCAGAGCAAAACCACCTTCATCTCTTGGCAGCCTGGACTGGATGAAATCGGACTAGCGCTGGGCAGCAGAGCAGCACTCACACCGGGGGCCTCTACAGTCCGTGCCCTCCTTGATGCTGAGAAGTGTATGGTTCTTTTACATCTTCTCTGCTCCCCCTGAGTGGGAAGTGTTATAACCAGAGGAAGGAGCAATAAGCCACAGGAGAGAGGATCTAAGCCACTGGATTTTAATGGAATCTGACCAGATAATTTCTTTAACGCTCTTCTGTGCCGGGCTGGCACAAATAAGTGGGCAGCAAATAAATTTCATCATCCAGAACTGTGCTCTTCAATATGTGTCTAGTTCAAATCAAACTAATTAAAATTACCTGTTAGACTGGTTCCTCAGTCCTACTCAGCACACTGCAAGTGCTCGCTAGCCATATGTGACCAGTGGCCATTGTACTGGGCAACACAGGTATATAACATGTACATTATGGCATAAAGTTCTTTTCACATTGATATCAACCGTAGTCTATCTTATCCTTCACACAAAGCCTAACATCTCAGAAAGATAATTTCTCCATAACTTTTCCTTCATTCATCACCACCTTTCATTTTTGTAAATTATTCTGCTGAATACAGTAGTTTATATCCCACCTGAAAATCTATCCATATTGTAATCCTCGTATGCTTTTTGCCCCTCAAATCCACTGTTCCAGGGAGTGATACTATTAGATTCTATCTAGGTATGGGTTACATAGACATAGGCATTTTCTGGAGTCTTTTAAGAGAATGGCTTCCCATTAATTCCTAATAGCAAATCATAACCCCTTCATCAGGACCCCAGCAATGGTCTTTCTAAACAAAATACCAGAAGACCTTTTGGATGTCCCTAGCACACTGCTAGAAAAGGATCAGGCTCAGATAAGTTCTCCTGCATTTGGTCTGGCGATGAGGCATTCAAAACCTCCAAAAGCAGCCCCAAAGTCAAGATCAGAAACCAGGACTCTCAGGTTTGGTAAGATCTAAGCTGCTGCCATCACAATGAATAACAGGCATATTTAGCCAGTGCTTCAAAGAGGGGCCAAACACCTATGACAACCACCCCCACCACTGTCCAGACAGAAGATTTTCAAAGGGAAGAAATCTGAATCTATAGTCCTCCTCTTCTGTCCTCCTGGGGCTAAAAGGGAAAAGCATTAGGAACCTGGTTCCTACCCTTCCAAAGTAAAGAGAAACAGAATGGATACCTGGCATAGATGAATGGAAAAAGTCACTATTTCTTTTCGCTTTTCTATACATTCTAATTCTATAAGGGCCTACTACATTTAGATAGATACTATCCATATTCCCCGCAAAAAGTAAAGAAAGCCCACAATAATATTCTCTACAAAAATCCCAAGACTTGAAACACATGAAACCAGAGCTATATGGCACAGAGCAGTACTTTATAAGGTCCTCAATTCCACACACAGTACGCAAACAGTGAAATGCCATGGCTCCTGAAAACAGCTCCATAGAAAGAGAATGCACAGTTTTTAAAATCTTGATACCAACACTCTACTCCTCAAGGCCATTCCTGCCTGACCACCTTAAATATTTGTGGTTTCGATCTGGCAGCTTCTCTGAAACTAAACACATACACTTTCTCAGTGTAAGTCTGCTCACTAACACTGCATACCACTTTAGGAACAGGAATTCAGGAGAGGGTAACTGCATAATTAACTCCAACACAACTGAGCTTTTGATTTTGTATCTACTTCTGAAAACTCTCTGCTGCTCTGAGTTTGGCAACCCCTCCAAAGCCCCGTCATTCCAGAAGTGTGAAAAGCAGCAACAATGAAGTGACAATTTAACTTCCCTGCTACTGGCAGGACACAGGATGAGCAACTGGAGACAGAGCTCAGAAGACTTTCCTCCCTCTAGGCCTGAAACAGCCCTAGAATCCACATGGCAGCAGCACAACTAAGGCTCTGCAGATCACAGTGTTTCCACCCAGCAACCTCTGACAACCCTGCAGGCTTGTGAATATACCTTTTTAAGGGAGAACAGCAGCCGTATATCTGGACCCATGCTAAGATGTTTGGAGGCACTAAGGTCCTCCAGTGGGACTTATATAGTACAAGAAGCTTATTCTCATGGGTATGCTCTTCACATTTCCAAATGCTTGAAGGGAAAAGGAGGGTATCAGTGGGAGAGAAGTGAACAGCAGGGAGCAGATACCTAAAAGCACACTTAGGCACCTATATGCCACATGCATGCACACACAGGACTCTAATTATCCATGACCAGAGTTCTGTCTGCTTCTTAGAAGTTCTTCCTTGGGATGACTGGGTGGCACAGTCAGTTAAACGTCTGACTCTTGGTTTTGGCTCAGGGGTCCTGGGATCAAGCCCTGCATCAGGCTCTGTACTCAGCATGAAGTTTGCTGGGGATTCCCTCTGCCCTGCTTGCTTGTGCTCTTTCTCTCTCTCTCTCAAATAAATAAATAAAATCTTAGGGGAAAAAAAAGAGTTTTTCTCAAGAGGTGCCTGGCTGGCTCAGTTGGTGGAGCATGTAACTCTTGATTTCGGGGTTGTGAGTTCGAGCCTCATGTTGGGTGTAGAGATTACTTAAAAATAAAATCTTTAAAAAAATAAGTTTTTTCTTAAATAACATGAGAAATTAAGTGGAGTCTTATTTTTCTCCATTGAGAACTTCTACCTTGACTTCCTACAAAAAAACAAACACTAACAATGGAGGAAAAGACAGAAGGGTTTCGTAACATTACTTTCACTTCCTTAACAAGGTAAGATACTGAATATAGACTGAAAAACTCCCTCTTTCTATATCCTCAAATGATCTGAAATCTTTCACAACTGACAGACTTGATGCAGTTTTCCCACCCAGACACATTCTAAAGAAACTTCCAATTCACTAACCTGGCCCTGCTGTGGACAAAGCCAGGGCCATTCTGTTGGGCTAGGAATAGCGTCACATCACAGGAGAATCCCAGTCTCTCTGATGCTCATAAATGGCACAGTGTCAGTGTGTTTGCAAGCCATAACTGAGTAGACTTGGAGTCCTGACTTCCTTCCCTAGCAAAGTGGTAGACCCCACAGGGGTAGAATAAGAGCAGAAGAGCAAAACACCAGCAGTTGAAATGGCTTCCAATTCTGAGACCAGAAATAAAATTCAACTGGCAAGCCAAATAAAAGATGAAAATTACTCTTCTGTGCCCAATCAATCCCATCACCCAGCCAGTGACTCCAAAGGCATCACTCCAGGGAACACAGCTTTCATAAGTTCAATGCTTTCTGAGAGCTGCAGCACATGCAAACACAACCACTGATCAGAAGGAAGACTTACCGCCTCTCCCCGTTGTGCTCAAACTTGATTCTGACGTCACTCTGCCAAAGGAATGATAGACAGGTTAGCGGGTTCTCTGTGTTATCTGTGGCATGTGTTAGCCTGCCATTCCCAGGTAAGCTCCAGGTAGTCCTTTAGCAACGTTAGACAAACATCCCTGATGCCTCCTGTTCCAGCTTCTCTACCTCATATGCATTCCTTTCCAATGAGTTGGGAGCCTTCCAGTTTTAACCTCAGGAGCAAGAAAGCTCTTGGGACGAGATCCCCAAGTAGCGGCCCCAGATCAGATGCAATGCTCTGACGGGTCATTTCTAAGTTCTACACTCATTTCCACAACAGACACTGGAGTTTCTCTCACCATATCACCTCCTGGCCAGGATACCTTTCCTTCTTGGCTGATGTGACTGAACAGAAAGAGAATGGATGGGATGGATACTTCCTAGCTACGGGTCCACAAACAAGTTACTTATCTGTAGTTTTCCAGTGTACAGTGGGGCTAAACATACCTAATTTGCAGAGCTGCTATGAGAACTAAACAACATAATGTAAATAAAACATCAGATACAAAGTAGACATGTGATAAATGGTTGCTACTGCTACTACAGATTTCTGAGTTCCTTTATGGTTTTTTTTTTTTAAGATTTTATTTATTTATTTAACAGACAAAGAGATCACAAGTAGGCAGAGAGGCAGGCAGAGAGAGAGGAGGAAGCAGGCTCCCCGCTAAGCAGAGAACCTGATGCAGGGCTCGACCCCAGGGTCCTGGGCTGACCTGAGCTGAAGGCAGAGGCTTTAACCCGCTGAGCCACCCAGGCGCCCCCCCAAGTTCCTTTCAATACTACTCCCAGTAGGGTAAAGTGGGATCCTGGACAAGTTACTGCAGAACTGTTCCCAGATTTGTCCTAAATGACCATCATGGGTAACCTGTAAGGTGCAAGAGGACATGAACTGCATCTATCTTGTTTCTGTACCCCCAGTGAAATGCAAGGGGACTGGTATATAATACCTGAGCTTACTATTTATCCAAATGGATTAACTGGGTAAAGAACAGAATTGTGTAAAGAGTGTAAATATCAGAAATAGGAGGAAGTTGAAGCATCAGAATGTTAAGAAATAAATCAAGGAGGAAGAGATATTGTAAAGGGCAAACAAATGACTCAAAGGAGTTTAAAATGGCAGGAAAAGGGAAGAGATATTATAGAAGAAAAGAACAGGTATACAGAAAAAAGAAAAGTTAAGACTGTCAGGAAACCAACAAATAATAGAGATGGAGGAGAGAAAGAGTACATAATCAGTGAATAAGAAGTATACTGAGAATAAAGAGAAATTAATAGACTGTGGCTTGGAGAAAGAAGGTTCCAGAGTATCTTTAGATGAGAAGCACAGAGCAGAGAGAGAAGACGACAGAATGGGACGGAATGTCAAAGGTAGGGTGGATACATAAAGGACTTCCTTTACCCAAGAGATTAGAAGGCTAGAATTCTCCTCCAGTCCACTGGCCTGGACGGGTGGTTCTAATTTACACTCTAAAAATGACTGAGGACCTCAAAAAGCTTTTGTTTACATAGATTGCATCTACTGAGATTTGCTATGTGAGAAATTAAAACAGAAAATTAAATTTTATATACTTTAAAAATATTACACGTTAACATAAACACATTGTTATAAAAAATAACTATATATTTTTAGAGTTTAGTGAGAGAACACAAATTTCTTTAATGCATAGCTTAATAGGAGACAGCTGGGTTCTCATGTCAGCTTCTGGTTTTAATCTGTTGTGATAACACCTATCATGTAGCTTCTGGAAAACTCTACTGTACATTCTTAAGAGAATGAATGTAAAAAGGGCAAGTAACATTTTAGTATTCATATGAAAATAGTTTTGACCTCAGGGACCCCCTATAAAGTTCTTGGGAACTTCCTAGGTATTCCTAGCCCACAGCTTGAGAATCACTGAATCAAAATATAAAAATGCATTCTTCTAACCCATTATTTTATTTTTTTAAAAATTGATTTATTTATTCATTTATTTGACACAGATTGAGAGAGAGACATAAAGAGAGGGAACACAAGCAGGGGGAGTGGGGAAGGAAGAAGCAAGCTTCCCGCTGAGCAGGGAGCTGGATGTGGGGCTTGATCCCAAGACCCTGGGATCATGACCTAAGCCAAAGGAAGACGCTTAACAACTGAGCCACCCAGGTGCCCCCCATTATTTTAAAGACAAGGTGTAGTTGGGGCTCAAAGAGCTTCATATCCCTGAAAAGTTCACATGCTAAACAGTGGACAACAAAGCTCCCCTGACCTGCAATGTGATAACTCTTCAAAACAGTCCTGATCTTGCCCTCTCATCTTTTTTTTTTAAGATTTTATTTATTTATTTTTTGACAGACAGAGATCACAAGTAGGCAGAGAGGCAGGCAGAGAGACAGGCAGAAAGGAAGGGAAGCAGGCTCCCTGCCCAGCAGAGAGCCCGATGCGGGGCTCAATCCCAGGACCCTGGGATCATGACCTGAGCCGAAGGCAGAGGCTTAACCCACTGAGCCACCCAGGCGCCCCAACCTCTCATCTTTTAATGTAACATACAGACCACTTTATCCACTAACAGTATATGAAAATAGCTAATGTTTATTGAACATTTGCTGTGTACTAAGCCTCATTCTAAACATGTTCCATTTATCAGTTAAACAAACCCTCACAACAAATACTGTTATTGTCCTGTTTTACAGGAGAAACTGAGTTACAATGAAGTTAAGTAAGTCCCCTCAGTGTCACCATGCTTTAAAGAGTGAGCCAGGATTCAAACCCTGGAAGCCCAGCCCTTGACCACCATCCTAGCTACAACTTCAGTGTCTCAGAGGCAAAGGAGGTTTATTTTACTCACAGATGCAGGGCTTCAATGGGAGAAACTATCAAAGGATCTTTTGTGACCTTACTTTTTGGAACTCATGGTGCAGATGGCGGAATAATGCAGTCAGAACCAAGAGACTGAGGTAGCATCATGTAACAAGCTATAGGTACAGGGCCTGGAAAACCAGCAGTGGAGGCTTTGGCTGAGGTTGTGAGTAGACAGGGATGAAGGAGGTAGAATGGGAAGGTCAGTGTCTGCATCCGGTCTGCACTTGCTTGTGCGTGCTACCGTGTGTACGTGTGTGGGTGTGTTTGGGCATGCGTGCTTGCCCGAGCAGCAAGGTGGGGCAGAGAAAGTTATTGTGTGGATTTAAGGTTTATGCAAGTGACGGCAGTTTTTGGTCTTCTTCTCCTTCCCTGAAATGCTGAGCAGTTAGCACGGCCAGGGCTCCCCACGGCACAGTGCCGATGACAGGGTGCTATGCACTGACATGCCACCTCCAGCTGCCTACACGCTCTAGTCCCCCAGCCAACTCTGCAGTTATGTGGACGCTCACCTCAGTGCGCAGCCCTGTCTGCCCCTGCAGGTCGGTTACCACAGCCCTGCACCTCCTGCTGCTCGCAGCCCAGCACACCTTGGTATAGCGCTCATTATTACTATTTTTTATTAATAGATTTTATTTTTTTAAAGATTTTATTTATTTATTTGACAGACAGAGATCACAAGTAGGCAGAGAAGCAGGCAGAGAGACAGAGGAGGAAGCAGGCTCCCTGCTGAGCAGAGAGCCCAATGTGGGGCTCGATCCCAGGATCCTAGAATCATGACCCGAGCCAAAAGCAGAGGCTTTAACCCACTGAGCCACCCAAGTGCCCCTGGATTTTATTTTTAGAACTGTTTTTGATTTTCAGAAAAATTGAGCAGATAGAGCCCACATACTCTTCTCCCCACCAGTCTCCTCTATTGACATCATACATTAGCACGGTACATTTGTTTTTGTTACAATCAATTAACCAATACCGATGTATTACCTAAGGTTCATAGTTTTTTCAGATTCCCTTAGGGTTTATTTCTTTCTGTTGATTTAAAAAAAAAAAATTGTAGGGCATGCCTGGGTGGCTCAGTCAGTTGGGCTTCTGACTCTTGATTTTGGCTCAGGGCATGATCTCAGGACCGTGAAATCGAGCCCCAGGTTAGACTCTGTGCTCAGCACAGTCTGCTTGAGATTCTCTCTCTCCCTTTGACTCTGCCCCTCTCTTCCCTGGCTGGCACATTCTCTCTCCCTCTCACGCGCTCTCTCTTCCCCTCTTCAAAATAAATAAATAAACAAATCTTGATTTTTCTCTAACTTTTTATAGCAGTAAAAAAGCATATAGCAATAGCTCTTAAACTGCGACATTATACTTTGATGCATTTATAAAGGAATCTCCTCTGTCCCTTTGTGGGACTGAAGGAACTAAATTTATTTCATCTCGGTCATAATTCAAGCACTATTCTATGTGAATTCAGTTAGAAAGGGAATTCAACTTTTGCCTTAAACCATAAATCACTCCTACTCAAGACTAACCAGGCCTGTGATTAGTAAGCAGTGTAAACAAAGACGCCTCATGCTCTGAATCCCTTCTCTGATGTGGTGACAGCCTTTCCCAAGCAGGATGCCTGCAGGTACCCCATGGGTGCCCACATCTGCCAAGCTCCTAAATCTGAGTTCCCTGTCAGGCTGACCAGAATAAGCCATGGATAAGGAAAGTTCAGATAAAGATAACTTTATTCAGTTCCTCCTGCCAACCATCCTCCTTGCCTCTCTGAGATATTTCACACTGGTGACCAAATCCTCTTTAATGAGGTTCTCTCCTCCCTTGCCTTCTGTGACTCTATCCCAGCCCAGACAACCTGCCACCACTCTAACCACTTCTGCTTCTTTGCTGGTTCCTCTTCCTCATGCCTTCTCCCACCCCTCCCCCAACATGTGATGTTCCTTGATGTATGGACTTTCCGCCTCTGGATTTCTCCCCCTTCTTCACATCTTCTCTTCAGTAGGAATAAAAAATAGGCAACTTATAAATAGAAAATCCCCAAATCTCTGACCAGCCCCAATCTCTCATGCGACACTTCCTCTGTCTGCCATGTAACTGAGGCAGGTAGGTCACTGGTAAGAATGCAGCATTGGAGTCAAACCATCTGGCTTCAACTCCT